GGACCTGAGTGAGGCTACGTCTTCATCGCGTTACTAGATTTCGGGATTCTTTCATCCTCCATGAAAACACTCCAACACGGATAGCCCAAACACAACGGACACAAGGCCCCTCTCTCTATTCGGGCTGTTCCTGACCCTCGTGGCGGCTGCGCAGCGGCGGGAGGGGGGCGGCAGGGGGTCATCCTCGGCGTCGCCGCTGCCGCCCACGAGCAGCAGGTCGCAGCTGTAGGCGGCTATTCGGTCGAGGTCCCCTGCGACGTCCAGGATGCCGAGGTAGGGGAGGCTGTGCTGCGCGCAATGTGCCTCCAGGGACCTGAGCCCCTCAGATCTCGGCGACGCCCAATGCACCTACCTACTCGGCATCCAGAGGCCGTTTCTGAAGGACCCAAGGGACACACAAATAAATAGGCACAACTCCTAGGATTCCCCATATTTGTTTCATATTTTCTGGAGTTTCGTCTTCCCCTCCACTTCTCATATTGTCCCATAAATTTGGCAGTCGACGTTTATGTGTGTCTGCGCGTTTCTTCACTCCAGAGTTTTCCAGCCCCGCAACCATCGAGCAATAACCCTGGGTGAAAAATCGGCACCCGGGAACAAATCAAGATTGCCAGTGGCCCACGCCGCGAAAAAATCGTCGTCGGACGAGACGAGACCGCGAGTCTCGCACGATCCTCGCACACGAGAAGCACGGCGAGGAATTGTTTTTACAAGCGCAACGGCTTCCAGGGGGGCTTCGGAACTGACGCCGGCAATTGCCAACGGATGCGACACGATGGCAACATGCAAATCTGGGCACGCAGAAGCGTGTCATGTCTACACCCGTCGGCATTTGAGGTTATGTAACCACGTTTCCTAACGACCTTCGCACGTATGTGAGCTAGTGGCTGATCACAGCAATTCAATGAAACATGTGGCATTGAGGAAGCACGAGAGACTGCTTGACTCGATTTTCGAACTTGTAATTCTCGATTGTTCGATTGTGAAAACCAACGGCCAGATTCGCGCAAGCTCGGTTGGTGCGAATGAGTTATCATAGATGCCAGTTGATTCAAACAAATCCACCTATTCTTCAGAAAGGCGTTGACATTTGCAGCCAGAGACGGCCTTATATGGCATCATGTAACCAGGTAGTACAACTGACATCCCATGTTTGCACAATCGTGTTTCCAACAACGTCCCACAACACTGCAGGAAAGCGACAATACGACTCGAGATGATTACATATCCTCCAAACACTGATCTAAAAGGCCAGCATTCGTAAAACGTCGAGGACTCGATATTGATGGTGGTCGTCTTAAGTTTTCGGCTTTCGATGGGACCTCCAAATTGCCCGATATGAACAACAGTGGAGAAACACATTCGCTTCCTAACTGCCCCGAGAGTGATCCAAAAGCTCACGCTGGGTTCCGCCAAAAGGGGCTCCAAAAGTCTTACAGAAAGCTTTCAGGAAGACCCAAGTTGGCAACCCTGGGAAGCCGCAACGGGAGCTAAGACTATGCTGAGTGTTGAGCTGAGCTCAACATCAACGAAGGCGCACGGTGCAAAATGCAAGCCGGCGCTTCGCTAGCCCAAGCTCGCCTTTGCAAAACCTGGTTCAGCTCAGCTCAACAACTGAGCTGGGCCAATACAACATCAAGTAAACCGCGCTGTGTCAGTCTGTGCCAATCCGGCTTCTCTCAAGACAAGCACCAGCAAGCCAAACTGATACCCCCGCATTGGTCTTTGCCACCACCTCCTCATGTCCCTCTTCCTGAGGGTGAACCTCCTGTTCCGAGGCCTCCTTTGTCCAATTCTCTTCCGCTTCCCATTTCCACCTCGCAACGGTTAGGTCGGGCATGTCCCCTACAGGCGGATTTTGGGAGGAACCATAAAAATCACTCGAACAATCTTCAAACATAGTAAAAACACGCTTGAAACAAACATCCCCCGACTATTTGTTGACCATGTTTGAATGCTCCTCCTGTAGAGGGACAGGCCCGACTTCACGCTAGGGCGCGAGCCCTGGCTCCCCCCTCGCCCCCGAGGCTAGAACCACGCGAGCCTCCGCCTCCGTGCCCCCCTGGCACGACGAGGCGTGTGCGGGATGAGAAGGGCTGCGCCCTTCTCGGTCGCGCGCGGCGCACTGCAGTCTCAGCGCAACTTGCGCTTCGGCCCTCTCCTCCCCCACCTCCCCCCTTCCCTTTGGATCTGCGCCGGTCTTTGGCAAAAGTGCTGTTTCGCAACGGAGTCCGCGACCCCAACCGCGATTTGTGCGTGCTTTCCGTAGTGCCCGACCTCCCCCGCCCCGGCCCGCGGAGCGTGCCAGGGGCGGCGCCGGAGACACCGCCAGGGGGGCCCCAGCGTGGATCCAATAGATCCGCGCGGAGGGCCACAAGTCAATGTTTATGGCGTCGTTTCTTTTTTTCTGACCACGCAGCCAGAGGGGCCCTTTCTTCGTGTTGTTTTATTGTTGGGCGTTTGTGTTTTCCACGTCATGGCGTTTTTGTTGTGTCTTTTCTTCTTCGAGTGGTGTGGTGTTTGCAGTTTTAAGTTGGGCGTGTCCCCCGACGAGGGGATCTTGGGCGAAACCATGGAAAAATACGCAAAACATGCAACCCAAATGCCCAACAAGAATCAAAAAAGTCGTCCCCCCAGACTACTTTTTGACTATCTTTGAATACTCAGACTCCCCCTGTAGAGGGACACGCCCGATTTGAGCGCAGTTTCGCAGGCCCCCCTCCTCGCCCAGCTCGGCGGCGCACGCACCGCTCCCCGCCCCTCCCCAGGGGCTCCCCGGGCGGCCCCGCCCGCGGACACACACACACACACACACACACATACACATACACACACACACACACGCACACACTCACACACACACACACATAGAGACGCACAAATCCCAGGATTTCCAGCACTTGCCCACAGTTTATCGGGGGTTTTCGTCTTCGCCTCCACGTCCTCTGCTTTCCCACCCTCTCCTGGGAACCGACGAGAATCATCGTGCCCGTGCCGTGCCCCCTCCGGAGCATCGTCGGGCGCGTCCGAAGCCGGGGGGGCGACCAAGAGGGGGCTCGCAGGCCGGAGCCCGACGCCTGCGCACGGACGAGGGGGGGGACTGCTGGGGACGTGCAGTCGGGCCCAGGCCAGACGAACAGGCCTCGAGATCACGAGGCCCTCCGCCGGCCAAGACGAGCCGAAGATCCAAGGGCGCCACTGCCAGGATGCACAAGAACATCCAACAAGCATGAAGGACGCCAGGGTACTTTAGTGGTGGAAACAATTGGTTTTCAACATGTTTGGTCTTTTGGAAGCTCTGCGTTGCCTGCGGGGACGCCGCCACGTAGAAGTACTGGAGACCGAGCATTTAACGGGCGTCGCTACGCACGCCCTCTGCGTGGCTGCGACCATTTGTTAGAACCCTAAAACCAATTAAATTCACTGATGGGATACCCTCCCCGAACCGACCTCGATGCTACACCTCGGTCCGAGTGTACTGAGACGAAAGGACGGGGCCATGACATCGGGGGAGAGATCATGGCCCCCTCATCAGACGTTCTTGGCCGAACCCGAGCTCTCCGAGGTTTCCACGACGAGAGGGGAAGGCCACCGAGGCCGTCAATAGGGCCCAACATTGCCTGAAGGGGCGCTCCACAGCTCCCGAGAAGCGCAGAAAGGCTTCCAAGAGGTCCCAAAAGGGCTCCCAGGCACAATACACTCTTTAGGCGACCCTCGAGAGGCCAAGGTCATTGAGTTTCCTATTGTTTTGCATGTCATCCATTATGGTTTTCGCTGCCTGCAATTGTTGGTCGAACATCGGCCCACTTGCGGTCTTGGAAAGCTTACATGGGACAAATTCAAATCCCAAAGAGGGCTCCTAGACGGCCCATTGCGGACCCATGAAAGCCACAAGCTGAACCAAGAAGACCCCTGGAGGGACCCAAGATGGCCCACGGTCGGGAACTTGTGCTTAGCGTGTCGCCATGGCGGCACCGGCGACACGCTATCCCTTGGGAGCGGATAGCGTGTCGCTCCGCTCAGGCTCGAGACGTTGACGCTGGGGGGAAGGGAAATAGATAGCGTATCGCGCCGACGCGTGTTGGGCAAGAAGCGGTGGAGAGATACGTGATCCCAAAGTTCCCAACCGTAAGAGGGCCAGCCCCTCGACGGCCAAACCCCAAGATGGCCCCACGACGGCCCCAAAATACTACTATGACGGCCAAAATGGATCTAAGGCAGCCCAAGAGAGGCGAACCCCAAGACTGGCCCACGGCAGCCCCGGAAAGTCCCCAGAGGGCCAACGAACCATCACCACGCCACGAACATCTCGACTGCAATACTGCCTTGAATAAATCCCAACAGCTTCAGCCCTCATCGTTCTCGACGTTCTCACTGTTTCCTCCTACTCCTGTTCCGCCCCAAGACGGCCTCACAACGGCCCACGACAGCCACGAGACGACACCAGTGCCACATGATGCGACCGTGTGCGCGTTGCCCCAAACGCCGCCAGACAAAGGACGAGGCAGGGGGGAACAAAGACAAACGACGGCGAGGTTTAGCTAGGGGACCGAACCATGACATAAACATAAAAAACTCGGAGGTCCGCGGATCTCTCGGATCCGCGCTGAACCCCCCCCCCCCCCTGGCGCGCGGAGCCCGCCAGGGGCGAAGCGGGAGGCGCCACCGGGGGGGTCCAGCGCGGATCCGAGAAGTCCGCGCGGATCTCCGTGTTTTTATTTATGATGCTCCAATCTACTTTAGCCTTGATCACAAGAAAGAATGTCCAGCACCAATTTCACGTGTCGGGACCTGGGAGACACTCGTCGGACACTGTTTCGACACTGTTTCGACACTCTTTCCACACATTTCTGGGTGCTCGAAATTATTTCTAGGGTGTGGCCCTTAGGTACGATGGGAGCTACAAACAGTTTTTATGTTATCGCTCGCTCCCCATTAACAGGAGGAACGCACGAGGAACCCCTGGATAGGAATCCTGTCCACGAGGACGACGCCGAGGACGAGGAGAGAAGCCGGGGCCCCAAGGCCACGTGTAGGCCCCGCGGCCCCACATCCGACGCCACGATCGGGGCGCGCACCGTCTTAGGCCCCGCGCGAGGCGCCCTCGCGGCCCAGGGACGCGGCGAAGCAGACCTCCCGCGCGGACCCCCCCCCCCAGAATGACACCTGGCGGCGCCTCCCGCGCCGCCCCCTGGCGCGCTCCGCGCGCCTCAGGGAAGGGGGCCCAGCGCCGAGCCGGAAATTCCGCGCGGACCTCCGAATTGTCACGTTTATGTCATTGCTCGCTCCCCTAGCCGCTAGCCCCCTCCCCGCGTCCCGCGCCCAAACCTTCCCCCATGCCAATCCCGTCTTCCCCGAACGAAGAGAACAGCAGTCGAATCGGAGGCACCATCGAGTCAGGCCGCATCGGCACGGTGCTGGAATTGAATCGAATCGGATCGGCCGCGCCAGGTTGCGCAACAGCACCATGCAAACATCGGGCAACATCGGATCGTCGTCATCGAATCGGGTCGGGCTGCCCGGAATGAATGTAGTTTGAATCGGATCGACTGGATCGAAATGGACCCTGGAGAGAATGACAACGATAATATCGAGGCGTGACGGTGTTCTCATCACTCATGCCGACACGTTTCAGAATTCACTCTGCATCCCTCCGCTGGACAAATCGCAACTTTTTCCATGAAGAACCGCCCCTGCCATATGTTATCACGTTGCAGCTGGCGCAGCGAAAAGACTCGCACTGCCACTACAAGTTCCCCCACACAGCGCTAAGCAAGCCTAGTGCCCACGGGCCCTCTCGAAACGTGCTGTTGAATGTGTGTGCAACCGGAGGGAGGAGCAAAGCGGGGGAGGACGCGGGCCAGGGAAAGAAACTACGTCATTGTGGGAGGGAACCTCACGGCCCAGTCGGCCACTGATTCAGCCCACGCGACGGCAGCTGGACATATCGCAACATGGCCTGTGCTCTTTCCGTACCTGCACTGGCTGAGGCTCAACGCGCTCCGCACGCGAGGCTATACGGCAGGCAGCGGAGACCGGCAGAGCCTGGGACACAGCACTCGATAACATAATCTCCCGTCTACGTGTGCTATCGCTGATCTCATCGGGGTGGGCGGAAGGGGGAGAAGGGGGGGTACCGAATCAGCTGCCTGTACCTGCTTTGCCCTGTGCATCCCAGCGCCACAGGAGCCGATGCGTCGAGGAGCGTGCTGAGCTGCGGGACCGAAGCCAGCTGCACGCAGCAGATATCGTACCCCCCTTTCCCGGTCGGCCCCCTGCGTCCGATCCGATGCCAGAGGAGCAAACGTCGGGAGAAACAAAACCACTCGGAGGTCCGTGCTGACTTCTTGGATCGCCGCTCGATCTCCCAGAAAGCGCCTCCGTCGCCGCCCCTTGGCACGCCTCGTGCGCCGGGAAAGGGGTGGCCCAGCGCCGATCCAGTAAATCCGCGCCGCTCCAAGGAATCTGATCTAGCCTGCAGCGGAAATTCCTCTGGCCCTGCTGCTCCAGCTGCAAAAGCGGGGCTGCAGGAAAGTGTTGGCCCGTGAGCGGGCGCCTTCACTGCCTCGAAAGGAGAGCAAGAACAAACGACACCACCACCATGACCAAAGGACAGCAGGGCGCCCCTTTTACAGGTGTGGTTTCGCTGCTTCCGGTGTCCCGATCGAAAACATCGTGGACCTCATCGCCGGGACGGGCCCTGCCAGTGGTCGTAGAGGTGTCGCTTCGCCTTTCTCCGACGAGAGCTCGAGCCACCTTCACAGCCTCACACCCTTTTCCCAACGCGGCAGAGACGTAACACGTGCAATTATGCTGGGCCGTGGGTGGCCGGCCCCGTGCGCGGAAATGCAAGGGGGTGAGGAGAGTCTGCGATCCCATGGCGGGTTCCAGAAACCTTGGACCCCACATCGATTAGCACCCCTTGGGGACGAATGGTGTTACTTCCTCCGGCGGACGTGCCCTCGTGTTGCTTCCGCCCCGCCAGGAAGCAGATGTCGACTCATCGATCCCTCGAAGGCGAGACCCTTTCTGGAGCACCCCACATGAAGAAAGAGGAGACTGTACTGAAGGTGCCCAGGGACACACAAATAACTACTCACAAACCCCAAGATCCCTCATATTTTTCCGTATTTTCTGGGTGGTCGTCTTCCCCCCAACACCTGTCCATATTTTCCCATATTTTCCTGGGGATCGACGATGAATTATTGTGTCTGTGTGTGCTTTACCCTCCTGATGTACGACCTGGTCGAGATCTAAGGTCGCAGGCCCAGAGATTGACACCGACACCATCGGCGGTGTGCATCTACCGAGGGAGGAAGATCCCGATCTCGGTGATAGTGGTAATACTCAGGCTTCCAAGGTGACCGACATATTGCCACAAACACCAACATCTAGGATCATCTTCCCAACCCCCTGGGTTGGTGTTGGTGCCCATTTCTGGGCCTCCAATAAGGTGCACGGCAGGTCGGGGTGGTGCGGCCTCTCCTCGCTCAGCAGCTGGCTGCCCGGAAAGACGCGGCTGCCGAGTGGGTGCGAAATGCGTCGGGGGGCGCTCGGCAGATATACTCGTTGGGGCGAGGGGCCGGCAGATGGACGGCCTGACGAGGGGACATCGCACGCCACCTCAGCAGCAGCCCTCCTCCTCCTCCTCCCTCCTCCTCCTCCTCCTCCTCCTCCTCCTCCTCCCTCCTCCTCCTCCCTCCTCCTCCTCCTCCTCCTCCTCCTCCTCCTGCTCCGCTCCTCTCCTCCTCCTCCTCCTCCTCTCCTCCTCCTCCTCATTCCTCCTCCTCTTCCTCCTCTTTCCTCCTCCTCCTCCTCCTCCTCCTCTTCCCTTCCTCCTCCTCCTCATTCCTCCTCTCCTCGTCCTCGTCCTCCTCCTCCTCCTCCTCCTCCTCCTCCTCCTCCTCCTCCTCCTCCTCTGGGGAGGCACCACCCCTCCACACTGAACGGGGGGGGGTGGGAGCCAAAGGGAACCCCCTCACGGAGGCGGAGCAGCCGTTGGGGCGGCCCGCTGTGCGGGGGCCCCCCGGAGCGGCCCCGCTGTGCGGGGGCCCTCGGCTCCCCGAGGCGGCCCCCCGGAGCGCGCGGCCCACCCTCCCCCACGACGATGGCCTGCCCGCTGCGCAGGACCCCCTGGGGTGGGCCGGGGCTCTCACCCACCCTCCTCCGTCGCCCTGCTGCTGCTTCCCTCCCCCTCCTCCTCCCTCCTCCTCCTCCTCCTCCTCCCTCCTCCTCTCCTCCTCCTCCTCCTCCTCCTCCTCCTCCTCCTCCTCCTCCTCCTCCTCCCTCCTCCTCCTCCTCCTCCTCTCCTCCTCCTCCCTCCTCCCTCCTCCTCCACCCTCCTCCTCCTCCTCCTCCTCCTCCTCCTCCTCCTCCTCCTCCTCCTCCTCCTCCTCCCTCCTCCTCCGCCTCCTCCTCCTCCTCCCTCCTCCCCCTCCTCCCTCCTCCCCCCTCCCTCCTCCCTCCTCCTCCTCCCTCCTCCTCCTCCTCCTCCTCCTCCTCCTCCTCCCCTCCTCCTCCTCCTCTCCTCCTCCTCCTCCTCCTCCTCCTCCTCCTCCTCCTCCTCCTCCTCCTCCTCCTCCTCCTCCTCCTCTCCTCCTCCTCCTCCTCCTCCTCCTCCTCCTCCTCCTCCTCCTCCTCCTCCTCTCCCCTCCCTCCTCCCCCTTCCTCCTCCTCCTCCCTCCTCCTCCTCCTCCTGGGCGCCACGGCCCCTCGGTCCTGACCCCGCCGCGGGGGGTCGCCCCCCGCCTCGACGCCGCAGTCGCGCACCAGTCGGCCGAGGTACTCCGGGCAGGCGTGCATGCCCTCGCCGCCGATGACGCCCACGCGGCGGGCGCGATAGCGGCACCTCGGGCCGAGGATCGAGTGCGGGCAATACTTCTGTCCATATCCACTGCAGTATGGAGTTTCGGGCTCCCTTCCTAAGAAACCCGAGGCGCACTGGATATGGGTAAATTTGCCCCCTCGAGGCTCGATGTTTATCCATATCCAGTGCGCCTCGGCCTCGTGGCGCCGCTTCCAAAAAAGTCCAAGATGCACTGGATATGGACATGAATCTTGCCCGCATCGAGTCTCGCGGATCGATGGCCTGGTGAGCCTTTTCTTATTCGGCGTCTTGGCATTGGCTGGAAGGGGGGGGAGGGCGGGGGGTCTGGCTCTGGACCTCTGCTCAGTGCGACTGTTTGGAACCGTGCGTCCTACGAGGGAGACTCCACCTGCTCGAAACAGGCGCCAACAACAGCCAAGATCTACTCCAGGGAGGCGGGGGGAGGGGTGGGGGTGCGAGGGCCCGCGCCGATCAGCAAAACAATGAATGCGAACCTTGTGGACGCGAAGGCCCGCGCCGATCACCTTGTGGACGTTTTCGGTCCTTGGTGCCTGAACTGTTGAGGCCTCAAGGGGCTCCTCGCAGCCTCCAGGGACCTCCCCAAACCCTGCACGAGACCCCCGGAGACGCGCGCACATGTGAGCCCCTTCGGCCACCGAGCGGGCCCGGGATCAAGCAGCGGCCAAACCCAAGACGAAGCCAGGACGCGGACAGAATCGGGTGAGGATAACTCGGGAATCTCTGGGATGCGGCGGCTGTGGATTCTCGGGCGCCGCGGACTTCTCAGAGCGTTCCGGAACGCTCTGAGAACGTTCTCGGACGCTCTGGAACGGATTTATCCTCGTCCTAGCCTTAGGTCGGGCAGGCCCTCCTGCAGGGGGATTCTAGACGAAGAGTTAAAGATAGTCGAACGTATTCAAATCCAGTCAACAAATAGCCGAAACATCGCCCGCAGACTGTTATTGAATATTCCTTTCGTAGGGGGGGCATGCCCGACTTAATCCTAGCCCCGTCCGACAAACCTGATGAACGAACAACACAAACCCATACCCATAGGGAGGTCGGAGGGAGAAGGACTGGCTATGGGTATGGGTGCGGGTTGTCGGACCCCTGGGGAGGCTCCCGTTCGAGCGGGGACCCCCATCCGACAACACGCACCCATAGCTCATTCCGTTTCCCCTATGGGTATGGGTGCGTGATGAACGTTCGTCAAAACCTCCGCCACCCTGGCTGAAGCGAGCCCATGCGGCGACCCGCGCCGACAGCCGAGGCGGAAGGCGGCACGGCCATCGCGGGTCCCCGCGCCCCTTGCGGGCACGCTCCGCCGCGCAGCCCCTTCATGCTGATTGTAGGGGGCACACAAGCCGACCTCGCTTTGGAGCACCCTCGCTTCCAAGAGATACCAAGCGATGCCAAATTACGGCATGTACTGATCAGGTCGCTCGACGAGGAGGCGTATAGTATGACTTGGTTTTGCCTGGAAGCGAAAGCGGGGTAGGTAATTCACGCTCTGAGATTGAGCGGATTCAAACTATATGGGATAAACTCTGCCGCGTATACGCGTATATCAGCGCCGATGCTGGATCTATTTAACCTCCCAGGAGTCACATTCCAACCCAGCGCCACCCTGCCCAGGGACGGGCAAGCAAGGATCGATGATCCTCAGAACGCGCATTGGTGCCAACGTGTTTTTTTTCCGCCGAAGCCCTCCAGCACGACTCAAGCTGTGCAATACGCGCCGGACATTGGGCTGACACGCGCCCTGCGGATCATCGAAAGAAGCTTGGAGGGGAACCACCCCTGGGGCACAGCCTGGCTGGAGGGCATGCGTCAATCCCACCAGCCCTTTGGGCAACAGGTGGTCTAAGGACGGTCTCATTCCTCTTCCACAACCCCACTTCCCTTCGGGGAGGGGAGCCCTCCCCCTCCCCTCCCTGAGGTTTTTGGGGAGGGGGACCGATGTGTCACAGGGTCTTTTTTCGGCCCCGGGGAGGGCCAATTGTTGACACCCCTCACGAGGATCGTGGTCCCCGAGGGGAAAGCTACATTTAGTACCCCCCCTCTATTGACCGACCGCCTCCAAGATGACCCCAAGAGGCGCTCCGGGGCTCCCAAGAGGCCCCCAATAGGGCTCCCAGAGCGCCCCAAAAGGCCCCAAGAGGGCTCCAAGAGGCACCCGGGAGGCACCCGAGAGGCCCCCGAGCGGCCTCATAGAGCCCAAGATGACCTCCAAGATGGCCCAGATAGCCCAAGCTGGCCCAATATGGCTCCCAAGATGCTCCAAGCGGCCCCAAGACCGTTCCAAGACGGCTCGACATGGCTACGGAGCCTCCCAAGCCACCCTCGCTGTTTGACTAATTATGCGTGTTTCTTCGTCCTCTCGCCCCCTGTCAACTCTCGTCATCGTTTCTGGACGAGCCGGCGGGGTCATGTTGCTCCCATAGTACTTAAGGACAACATCCCAATAATCATTTCGAGCACTGGGAAATGTGTCAAAACAGTGCCGGACGAGTGTCTCCCAGGGCCAGACACGTGGACCCCCCCGGGTTTCCGCACTTAGCTGATGCTCGAAATTCTTTCTGGTGGTCAAGGCTAAATGGTGGGGACATTTTTTTGGTCGGCGGCCGTGCGACAAAAGGTCAGCTGGCAACATGCGTGTCCGGGACGGCGGAACAGGCAAATTCCACGCGACGCGTGCACTGCACGTGCACTAAGCAAAATGCTCCGCATTCACAGGGACGCACCTAGCGCACGGAGGTGCAAGCCGCGGAATAAGTCGCCCTTGCGGCGCCAAGCTCCGAGCAACTGCCCAGACAGACAACAATGTACCCGACTGGGACGCGAGCTGCACGTAGTGGGAACGAAAGCCGACGACGCCGAAGGCTGACCCACTCGGCGCGCGGCCATCGGAACCTACAAATGGTGGGGACACGCGAAGCGTCAAAAATTCGCAGACACAACCATGACGGGAGTTACGGGGAGGGGGAAGGAAGGGGGGGAGGGGGCACAACGTTCGCGCCCCGCCCCCCCCCCCCAGACTGTGGTGCCCGACGCCCTGCGGCGGCGCCTGGGAAGCACTGCGGGGGGGGGGGGGGGGGGGGGGGGGGGGGGGGGGGGGGGGGGGGCGCTGCGCTAGTTGGCGGGGGGGGGGGGGGGCGCGCTGCGCTAGTTGGCGGGGGGGGGGAGGGGGCGGAGGGCAGGGGACACTTTTTTGCTTACGACGCCCGCCAATACCCCCACTTTGTGGGGGGGCTGGTTCAAGCTCTACCACATTTCCAAACGACTCTTCGCCACCACCCACACCCAGCTTCCCGCCCTATGACGTTCGGACACTTCACTTCGTGGCCTGCGGACGACCGTGGCTACTACACTGGCGCATGGGTACAGTGACTTGTTGTGGTAACATTTTCTGGACGCTAGCTTAGTATACGACTTTTCCCCCTGTTCCAACACTGGACACCTGTACTGGTTTTTGGCAGAAAGCCCGTTTGACAGAAATGTTTAAAAAGTGTTGGGTTTCCTACAAATCCGCAAGAGCGCGCGGGATGAAATGTTGACACTTTTTTTGTTGAAAAACCATTGGTTTTTTTGATGTTTTTATGTTAAAATCGCTACGAACACTAAGGTTTTGGAAGGATTTCGTCTTGCGCGCGCGAATGTCCACTTTACCTTATTTTTTGCAAGGGATTCTTGAAGTTTGGTTATGTTAGAACAAGAAATGTCCACTTTGCCTTATTTTTTGCAAGGGAAAACCGCCCGTAACAAAACAACCGGATCCGGACCAACCCGTTTTGCCGGAGACTTCCTCACGAAAATGATGAAAACATGGCTGCGGCCTAGGCGCGGCGAGGGGGCCGTGCACCAGGGGCCCCAACAATAATTATTCTTTAGAAGTAATAATGTTCAACAACAACAACAACAACAACAACAACAACAACAACAACAACAACAACAACAACAACAACAACAATCACTTTACCCGAACGCTCAGTGTTCTCACCAGTGCCAGGGTTTTCATGCGACGCCAGCCAATACCCCCACTTTGTGGGGGGGCAGTGCAAGCTCTACCAAATATCCACACGACTCTTCGCCACCACCCACACCCAGCTTCCCGCCCTATGACGTTCGGACACTTCACTTCGTGGCCTGCGGACGACCGTGGCTACTACACTGGCGTGGAGTACACACCCACAGAAGTTGTTAGGACAGCGCGCGCGGGTAGAAATTTTGAAAAGTCGTGCAGGTGTTTTTCGAGGACCTACGGTGCGATTCGTGTGATTTTATGATGCGCGGTGCTAAAATTCTTAAGAAGCCCAATGGTTTTTGGAGATTTCGGCGTGCGCGCGCGAAGAAAAAACGAATGTGTCCCGCATGGTATTATTTGACAGGGATGATGGCCCTGGCAGGTGCGCAACCGTTGTCGCAGAAGTTCGAAAAAGTTGCTCGCAAAAGCCCGTTTGACAGAAATGTTTAAAAAGTGTTGGGTTTCCTACGAATCCGCAAGAGCGCGCGGGATGAGATTTTGACATTTTTTTGTTGAAAAACCATTGGTTTTTTGATGTTTTTATGTTAAAATCGCTCCGAACACTAAGCTTTTGGAAGGATTTCGTCTTGCGCGCGCGAATGTCCACTTTACCTTATTTTTTGCAAGGATTCTTGAAATTTGATTATATTAGAACAAGAAATGTCATTTTATAGTGTTTTTTGCAAGGGAAAGCGGGGGGGAACAAAACAACCGGATCTTGATCACATCGAATTACCTGAGGCTTCCTCACGAAAATGATGAAAATGCAGCTGCGGCCTAGGCGGCGCAGGGGGGCCGTGCACCAGGGGCCCCAACAATAATTATTCTTTAGAATTAATAATGTTCAACAACAACAAAAACAACAACAACAACAAAAAACCCAAACAAACTCCCAAATGGTGTTAGGAGCAATATTCAAAACATCGCCCAACAACTATTGCTTACCATGTTGGAACATGCCCCCTGCAGAGGGACAGGTCCGACTCACGCCTGGCCCAGCGCCGCTCGCGCGCGGCCGGCTCGTCGGGCGGGCCCTCGCACCGCGCCCCGGGCCCTGCCGAGGCCCCGAGGCTTCGCGGGCGGCGTCCGCACGGGGGCCCGTGGACTCCGGCCGACCCAGACATTCGACGTCCTGCCTTTTTGGATAAGCGGCCCTCCACCTCATCCCTTTCCTCCTCCTCCTCCTCCTCCTCCTCCTCCTCCTCCTCCTCCTCCTCCTGCTCCTCCCCGTCCCCGTCCCCGTCTCCTCCCGCTCCCCCTCCTCCTCGTCGTCCTCGTCGTCCTCGTCGTCCTCCTCCTCCTCCTCCTCCTCCTCCTCCTCCTCCTCCTCCTCCTCCTCCTCCTCCTCCTCCTCCTCCTCCTCCTCCTCCCCGTCCCCGTCCACGACCCCTTCCCCGTGGGGCCCGTTTTCCATCCCGGGTCGTTTCTGGACGGCCCCCATCGGGGCCCCGCGGGGGACTCCAGAGGCCGAACGAGGCGAGGAACCTCCCGTGCGGATCTCTGTCACGGCGCGGGCACGTCTGGGGACCGGCCACGACCTGCGAGGCGGTGATTCATCCATATCCACCGCCTCGGAACCGACGTCCTGATGCCCCGGTGGATGTGGATATATTTTGGCCCCCGGGAGCTCGAATACGTCCATACTTACCGCCCGCCGAGGTCCCCGAAACTGATCCTCCAGGCGGTGGTCATTTAGAAATTCCCACCTCGGACGATCTGCAGCAGCTGGGCGGACCCGTCCCCTCGGGCCGGGCGCCGCAACAGGCACCGCGGCGGCCGGGGGTGCGCCTGCGCGGGGCCTTGCTTCTTTTTCTCCCAGCGCCAGGGGCCACCGACAGAGAGCGCCTCGCTCGGGGTGCGGAGCAGTTGCCCAGGAAGCCGTCCCCGGACATGCGGCGCCCTGGTTCTTTTTCCATACGGGGCTCACTCTGGATGAATATCTATGAGGGGGGGTGAGCTTGCCCAATCCCGCCCCCCTCCATCCTCCTCCTCCTCCTCCTCCTCCTCCTCCTCCTCCTCCTCCTCCTCCTATTCCCCCAACCCGTACTCCACCCGTTCCGACAGCACGTGCACCCCCCCCAGCGGATGAAGGGGGGGGGGTGATTACTGCCTCATCCAGAGTGGCAATAAGAGGGCCCCAAACCCTTTGAGAGAGGACCTAAGGCATGGATCCAATACTTTGGGAATACGGGGTCCTTTTCTGCAGATGTCTCCAGCCAAAGCGCCCAGATGGATGCTCCCTAGTGCCAAAACGGTGACCTTGGGTAAGGCTAAGTCTGCATGGTGCGATTGAGGTTGGGGGTTCTTCTACCCTATGTGGCACGGCATCCCCCGAAGTCCCGACCCCTTCCCCAGTCCCATGGGCCCGGCGAGGGCCCCCGGAGGCCGAAAGTAGCCACCAAAGAAACCTCCCGTCCAGATTTTTTCGAGACGCGAAAGCATGCCTGGGGGTGCACGGTTTCCCCCGGGGCCGTAGGCGACCCGAGGAGGAGAAGGAGGAGGAGGAGGTGGAGGAGGGGGAGGGGGAGCAGGCAAGCTAGGTGCGCTCGCGTCATATCTGACGACCCGAGGAGGAGAAGGAGGAGGAGGAGAAGGAGGAGGGGGAGGGGAAGCAGGCAAGCTAGGTGCGCTCTGACGTCCTACCCCTCCCTCCCATCCCTTACCATGACGCTGATTTTCTTTATCCGCGGACGCGTGTCGTAGCGGACCTGTGGCTCCGCGCGCGCGTGCGTAGTGGGTGGTGGTGCGCGTGCGTGCGTGCGTGCTTGTGTGCGTGGTTGTGGTGGTGGTGGTGGTGGTGGTGGTGGTGGTGGTGGTGGTGGTGGTGGTGATGGTGGTGCTGGTGGTGGTGGTGGTGGTGCTGGTGGTGGTTGTGGTGGTGGTGGTGGTGGTTGTGGTGCGGCGCGGTGGTGGCGGGCGGATGGGCGCGCGAGAAAGAGGCCCGCGCTGGGGCGAGAATGCCATCCTGAACGACGGAGGCCAAACACCGATCCGAAAATGAGGCCCACGCTGCAACGGGAGCACGATTCGGAACGATTCGGGAGCAGAAATGAGGCCGGCGCCTCAGCGAGAGCAGCATTTTGAAAAAACGCAGGCGAAAACCCAACTCCCGGGAATCCTGTGTGTAAAAAACAATACGCGGGGGGGGTCACTACTTTCAGGCCGCCATCGGGGGAAGAGGGAGAGTAGTATTCATATTGAGTAATTGTAGAGGGAGGGAGCAGGAGAAGGAGGAGGAGAGGAGGAGGGAGGAGAGGGAGGGAGGAGGAGGAGGGAGGAGGGAGGAGGGAGGAGGGGGAGGGAGGAGGGAGAGGGAGGGAGGAGGGAGGAAGGAGGAGGGAGGAGGAGGAGGAGGAGGAGGAGGAGGAGGAGGGAGGAGGAGGACGGGTCGCTTAAGCCCTTCGGAGCAACCCTCCAGCCTGGGCATGCGTCGCCGGAGGAGGGGGCCTCGCGCGCCCCTGCGGCCGGCCTCGCTCGCTCCCCGTCCTGGCCCCGCCCGTCCCGGCCCCGCGCGGCGCCCGTCGCGTCTCCCTGCTGCTCGCCGTCCTCGCCCTCGCCCTGCTCGCCCGCCGCTGTCCTGCCCGCCCTCGCCGCCCTCGCCCCCGCCCTGCTCGCCCTCCGCTTCCCGGTCGGCTCCTCTTTGCCCCACCCCTCCCCTGCGTCCTCCCTCACCTCGTCGCCGTCCCCCTCGTCCTCCTCCTGCACCTCCTCGTCCACCTCCGCCGCCTCCTCCTCGTCCTCCGCCTTTGGCCCCTCATCCTTCTGCTTCCGCTTCTTCCGGCTGCCGCCCATACCGCTGTCGCCCTTTTCCTTTCGAAAGACAGCGCCCCAAAAATCAGAAGCTGGAGGGCACCTCCCTGGCTGCAGCATGATCTTCAGAACGCCTGGGGAAAGCCAGGGCCAACTTGCAAACAAAGGCTGGCGGAGAGAACCCCAAAGAACTGTCAGTGCGGAGATATGGCATAGACAAAGACAAAACATATACTGATGCCTCATCACTCTCCTCCTCAGATGGCAGCGTGCGTGCTTGCATGTCCTAAACTGGCCACGGTGACGTAGGCACTGCGGGGAATGTCCTCAGGTCCCTTCGAATTCTCAGCGTTGAAAATGAAAAACGCTGTTTTCTTGCGCCCAGACCCCGTCTCCGGGGAGATCTCAGGCGCTCCTGGACGCTCCCGGGGATCCCGCATGACTTTTCCAAAGGCCGTGGAAGCACGGCGTGAATCGTCACTCCCAACATGGCTTAAGATGGTCTCAGGGTCCCCTCTGAAGCCCTCTTTGAAGTCGTGGATGCCCTGGGTGCCTGAGGCATTCGGAGCCTCTCTGGCTCCAAACATGACCACATGACCACAAGAAGCGCCCAGATGGCCCCCCCAGAGGCTTCCAATACGCTCCCATCCGTGAGGCTCCACGAGGCCCCCGAGAGACCCCCCGACCTGGGCCCCCCAAGAGGCACCCCATGAGGCCCCGACAGGCGCACAAAGGACAGGTCCACGAGAGGCACCCCGAGAGGCTCCACTATGCATCACAGATGCCTCTTGTCCACGACCATGCGCGGGGGCAAAATGAGCCGAAGACCAGTCGATCCGCCGCCCCCCGTTGATTTATCACAGGGGTGGCGTGCTGAACTTCTTACGGTTTGGTTTTGGTTCTTTTACAACAAACTCTCCCCTGGGGCTGCGGCCCGTCCCGCCGGCCACGCGGAAGGCTGCTGGCGAGGTGGTTCCAAAGGTGTTCCCGGTCCAGATGGCTCCAAGATGGCCCACGCTGGCCTCCAAGACGGCCAAGATGGCCTCCAAGTGCGCTGAAGATGGTCCAAGATGGCCTCGAAGATGGCCTAAGAGAGACCAAGATGCTTCCAAAGTCGCCCCAGACGCCTCTAAAACGACCTCAGAGGCCGCCTCCAAGAGGCCGCCAAGGCGGCCCCAGAGGCCTCCAAGATCCCACGAGATCTCCCAGAGGTCAGGAAGGCCCGAAGATGCCAAACTCATTGATTTTTTTCTAGGTTTTTGAAGGGTGTTTGGCAGTTGCTTCTTTTCGGCCTCCCGACGGCCCGAGACGGCCCAAGAGGCCCTAAAGATCGCCCCAAGATCGCCCAAGAGGCATCCAAGATGGCCCCAGAACGGCACAAGAGGCCCTCAAGGTGGCCCCACGAGGGCGCTAAGACGGCCTAAGAGCCCTCCAAGACGCCCTGGAGGGCCTCCAAGACGGCCCTGGAGTACCCCAAAAGGGCCCCAAGTCGGCCCAAAGAGGCCCCAAAGGTGACCGTTTTAGTTTTCTGTCCCTGGTAACGGCCGTTACCTGGAGGGGGGGTCGGGCGGGAGGGTAACGGTAACGGCAGCCGCGGCGTGCGCCCGCCAGGGTGCGTCCGAGCCACCGGCGCATCAATCGCCTGTGTGCACCGCACTCCCTGTGTACACGAAAATGCCCAATGCCTGCGTGCAGCACAGTGCCACCTGTGTGCACACCACAGTGCCTCCGTACACCACAGCAGCCGCGTGCACTGCAACACCAAGTCGTCCTTGCACACCGCAGTGCCTGTGTATGCTGCAGCAACTGTGTGCGCTAAAGCGCCCGTGTACACCGCATTGCCTGCGTGCACCAGAACGCCAGCACCGTGAAACTAGATCACCATAGGATTCCACATACTACCAATATGATGTAATAGAAGATTGCGCTCCTGGATTCCACAGACACCCATTATCTAGAATAGCATGATTGAAGGAAACCCAGTGGAAAATGAAGCGCCTCTGGATTCCACAGAACATCTTTGCTTGATACGCCAATCCCGATGGAAAGTGGGGCGCCTCTGAATTGCACAGAAAAGAATGTGTGTTGAATACATGGTTCACAGGAGTCCCTATGGAAAGTGGAGCGCCCGAGGATTCTACACGCGTGCGCCACAGCGCCAGCGCACACCACAGCAGCCGCGTGCAGCACCGCGTCGGTGCACACCACGGTGCCCGCGTGCAGCACCGCGCTGGCACACACCACAGCGCCTGCGTACACCGCAGCAGCCGTGCGCAACACAGCGACGGTCTGCACCACGCTGCATGCGTGAACCACAGCGCCCTCGCAAACCACAACGCCCGTGGGAGAAGGCGCGGAGCAGCCCGGCCTCTATCTTCTCCATGGCGCTGTGTCTATAGTCGTTACGTGCAGGAAGCCCAGCTGAGGGTACCTGGGGGCCACCGAGATTTCGGAGGGAACTCCTGGGCGGTCTTCGTACTGCAAGACGGATGAAGGGCTACCTACCAGGCCCGATTAAAGGGACCGGAAAACTAGATTTGGATAGATTGAGCCCTGGATGAACCACGGATGCAGCAGAGGGGATGCCGAATTCAACCTCCCAAGGGTTGCCACCAAACGAGATGGTCCCTGCACCCACAGAGTCCCCGTAGAGAAACTCTAGGAGCTCCCGGCATCTGGCAACACGCGGGCCCCTGCAGCGCCGCCGTGGCACGCCTTCGGAGTACCCGGCCGCCATCTCGAACGCCTTCTGCACAGACTCCAGCGGCATCCTCCCAGGCGCAGCTGGGGTGAGGCGCGGCGAGATGGGGTCCCAGAAATGGCGCGACAGCGCGACAAGATGAAGCGGGCGATGGGAGAGCACGACGAGCGACTACGACAGGCCACAGGGCACGTGAAGCTCAGACGTGGAGCAGGATGAACGAGAGATGGTTCGAGGGACAGCGGGCGGGAGGGAGCGAGAGAGAAAGAGAGAGAGAGTGTGTGTGTGTAAGGGAGAGAGAGGGAGAGAGATCAACAAAAGAGAGAGCATACTAGAGAGAGAGAGAGAGAGAGAAGAGAGAGAGAGAGAGAGTGCCGTCTCCCTGAGTGCTGAATTTTCACGCAAGGTCATCCCTCCCATCGTTGCACCATACTGTGTGCTGCTCGTAGGGTGGCGCGTCCAGTAAAGCCGCTCAAATTAGGCCAGAACGGATGGCTTCGGACAATCACACCGCGTCACCGATGCATCGCCGACGACGGGATAGAGCAACTCGGTCTCCAGACCGCGTCCCATCGACTTTCGACTTTGTATAGGCGATGCGGCGCGCTCCACGAACTCCATGTGCTCAGGCCCAGGTCGGGAGCCTTGGGTTCCAGCTGGACTAGAGTTAGGTCGGGCATGTCCCCCTCCAGGCGGATGTTGGACGACAAATAAGAAATAGCCAAAACATGTTCAAACAATGTCAAGAATAATACACGAATATTCCTCCTCCTCTTTTGAATCTTCCTCCTCCTCTTTTGAATACTGTCAACAATTATTTGATTAAACTAGTTTTGAATCTTCCTCCTGTAGAGGGGCAGGCCACGAGCCACGAGGCCCCGTGACAGTGGCGCGGGCTCGCCAACGCACACCGCCACAAAGGGGCCCCTTCGATCTGCTACGCCGCGCGGGAGCCGACGACAACTCCGTCGCGAGCTCTGCAGATCTCTGACGTCGTGAGCCACCTTTTGGGAGCGGCCAAGAGGGGGGCATCCAAGAGGGGAGGGGTGCAGATCATGACCGGCGGCATGTGCGCGGCCCAGCGGGGGGGGGCCAGGGACGCAATTCAAATCAGAAGAGGCGCCATGAAATCTGGGGAGGTATCATGGCCCACGCCATGATATTCCCCCCCCTAGTCATCACCCCCCTCTTCTCCGCCCCCGAACCTTACCCTCCTGCATGCAGTGCCGGAGACGTCGCAGGTCGCAGGGCGAAGTCAAAGAGCTGCTGTGAGTCTGGAGGACGCATCGGGCGCCGGGGCAGTTACAGAACGCCCTGACACGCTCCGAAAGCGTTTTGGAGGGCTGTGGGGCGATTGATACTCGCCTAATTCGGCCTGCCGGGCAACGATCCCCCATGAAAAAAGCTCATGCCATTCCAAGTCGAACGCATTCTGGGACCCTCCCTCCAAATTTGGAGGCCCTGGGGTGATTCCCTGGCGGCCCGTGGCGAGCTCTCCGACGCCCAGATCCGATGGGGAGGTCTGGATCTGACTCTCAGTCGACGGCGACGGTCGCCCTCCAGTCCTCGGACGCGCCTCCAGGGGTCGCCGCGGAACCCCCCAGCGGCTTCCCGAAAGGCCCCCCCACCGGCCACCACAATCTCAGGCAGGCCCAGGCTGAATACGAACCGCCGCAGAGAAAGCGGACGGGAGCTGACAGTGGGCCCGGAAGGAGGGAGTCCCCGTGAAAGAGTTTTGGGGGGGGATCTGGGCACGAGGGAGCGAATGAGCCAAGGGAGGGATGTGAGGAGGAGGAGGAGGAGGAGGAGGAGGAGGAGGAGGAGGAAGAGGAGGCCCCACCCAGGACGGCCCAGGAGGCCGCCACGGCGCCCCCAGAGGCCTCCAAGAGGCCTCCCAAGAGGGTCCCAAGAAGCCACACTCAGTGGTTTCCCATAGGTGTTTGACGGATGGTAGCGTTCTCGCCGTTTCAGCTTTTTGACGCTCCAAGACGGCCCAAGAGGCCCCCAAGACCACCCCAAAGCGGTCCAAGAGGTCTCCGAGAGGACCCACGACGGACTAAGAGCGCCCCAAGACGGCCCAAGAGGCGCCGAAGACGGGCCAAGAGGGCCCCCAAGACTGCCCCCAATGGGCCCAAGAGAGGGAACACGAGCCGAACATCCAAGCCTCCCGCCCAAAGAAACCCCCAGGAGGCCCTAAGAGGCGCCCACGAGGCTCCAACGGGCCCCCAAGAGGACCCCCCGAGGCCTCAAGAGGCCCCCCAAAGACCCAAAAGAGGCGCTGAGAGGCACCAGAACGGCCCCGCGGAGGCCTCCAAACTGCCTCCAAGAGGCCCCCGAGTGGCTTCCCAAGAGATCCTAAAGAACATCCAATAGGCTTCGCACCTACGACCCAGGCACGGTGGTGAAATGGTCCGAGAGCCATTATATAGGTATGTCTTTATACATGTGCACATACATACATGTATACATACATGCATACATACATACATACATACATACATACATACATAAACTCATGCATGCATGCCACACATATGCACAAACACACATGCATCCATCCAGCCATACATGCATCCATACCTACCTACCTACCTACCTACCTACCGACCTACCTACCTAACTACCTACCTACATACACATCTGCGCGTACATGCATACATGCATACGCACATGCATGCATACATGCATGCATGCATGGATACATACACGCATACATACATAAATACGTACAGTCACATCCATACCTACATCTATATCCATGCATGCATGCATACTTCCATGCATACATATAGACAGTCATACATACATGCGCGCATACATGCATGCATTAATCCATACACACGTGCACATGTACGTGCATACACACATCCACACAGACATGCACACGTACATCCAAACAAACAACAACGTCGACACATCCATACATACACATACACAAACATACGCACATAAACCTACACATACACACACTTGCATGCATACGCTCATACATATTTACACAGATACATTCATACACACCTACACGCATACATACATACACACATACATGCATACACACATACGCACAAACATACACACAAACACACAAACGTACACACTTGCATACACACTCATACACTGACATACATGCATACAAACACGTATACATACATTCATATACACGCCTACATGCACACATACACATATACCTATACATGCATGCATGCATACATACTTACACACCTACTTAAATACACCAGGCATGCATACATGCATGCATCTACAACTTCAGCTACACACCCATGCCCATATACATATGCATATACGAATATACATACATAGATGCATACCCCTGCGCACCTATATAGATGCATCGAGAAAGAGAGAGAGAGAGACGAAACAACTACCAATGTAAAAACGGCCGGCCTCATCTAACAAACACACACACGACCTGAGAGGTGCTGTTCGAACAATTTCGAACAGGAGAAGACGGCCAGAACTATAAGCGTTCGGATGTCCGCGCGGATCTTCGGTCGGCGATGGCCCCCCCTCGCATGGCGCGCGGAGAGCGCCAGAAGCGGTGCCCGAGGCGCCGCGCCTGGGCGAGGGGGCCAGTGCAGATCCGAGCAATCCGCGCGGACCTCCCAAAGTGTTGGTTATGCTGCGAATTCCTTGAACAACACAACTCCATCTCTCTCTCTCTCTCTCTCTCCCGCTCCCTCCCCTGGGAGGAGGCCGTAGAGATAGATCACTTGGGGGGGGGGAGGGGGCGCGTCGCAAAACAACTGCGCATTTCCTCCAATCGCTCCTCCCCCGGATCCTCCTCCACCTCCTCCTCCTCCCTTCTTATGCACCTCCTCCTTCTCGTCCTCCTCATCCTCCTCCTCCTCCTCCCGTTTCTCCTCTCTGTCCGCCTCTGTTTCCTCCTCTCCTTCCTCCCCCTCCTCCCCCTCCCCATCCCCCTTCCCCCCTTCCCCTCCTCCTCCTCCTCCTCCTCGTCTTCCTCCTCCTCCTCCTCCTCCTGCTCCTCCTCCATTCCTTTTCATTAGCAATAATCCCACCAGCCCTTTAGGGCGTAGGTGGTCTAGGGAGTTTCCTCTGCCAACCCCCCTTCTTTCCCTTCGGGGAGGGGTTTACCCCTCCCCTTACCCCTCCCCACTGACCTGGACGAGGCGTCTCGCGAGGTGTCAGGGCGCCCAAGATGGCTCAAGACGGCTCCAAGAGCGAAAAAGCGAGAAAGCACAAAACATTGATTCTACCTAGGTTTTGGAAGGATTTTGGCCTCTTGGGGGGGCCCAAGAGGCGCTTCGAGGCACTCTAGAGGGGCAACCCTAATTGGAGCTCCCCCCTTCTTTGATAGATCTCCTCCAAGATGGCCCCAAGAGCGCCCCGAAGGCTCCCAAGAGCGCCCCAAGAGCGCCCCAAGAGGGCCCCGAGAGACCCCAAGAGGCCCCCAAGAAGCCTCTAAGAGGCTGCCAAGAGACCCCCAAGAGGCCCCAAGAGAGTTCAAGATGGCCCAAGACGGCTCCAAGAGCGAAAAGGCGAGAAAGCAACAAACAATGATTTTACCTAGGTTTTGGAAGGATTTTGGCCTCTTGGGGGGCCCAAGAGGCGACTCGAGGCACTCTAGAGGGGCAACGCTAATTGGGGACCCCCTCTTCTTTGATCGATCTCCTCCAAGATGGCCCCAAGAGCGCCCCGAAGGCTCCCAAGAGCGCCCCAAGAGCGCCCCAAGAGCGCCCCAAGAGGCCCCAAGAGGCGCCCAAGAGGCCTCCAAAAGGCTCCCAAGAGACCTCCAAGAGGCCCAAGAGGCTCCCAAGACGGCCCAAGACGGCTCCAAGAGCGAAAAGGCGAGAAAACACAAAACATTGATTTTACCTAGGTTTTGGAAAGATTTTGGCCTCAAGAAGGGCCCAAGAAGCGATTCGAGGCACTCTAGAGGGGCAGCGCTAATTGAGGACCCCCCCTTCTTTGATAGATCTCCTCCAAGATGGCCCCAAGAGCGCCTCGAAGGCTCCCAAGAGCGCCCCAAGAGCGCCCCAAGAATGCCCCAAGAGGCCCCAAGAGGCCCCTAAGAAGCCTCCAAGAGGCCTCCAAGAGACTCCCAAAAGGCCACAAGAAGCTCCCCGAGATACGCAAGAGGCCCCCGGGACCGCCAAGAGGCTCCAAAGACGGCCCAAGAGGCCCCCAAGCTCGCCATTGTCCTCCTCCTCCTCCTCTTTTTCTTCCTCCTCCCTCCTCCCCCTCCCCCTCCTCCTCCTCCTCCTCCTCCTCCTCCTCCTCCTTCTCGTCCTCCTCGTCCTCAACCTCCTCCATCTCCTCCTCCTCATCTTCCTCCTCCTCCTCCTCCTGCTCCTCCTCCTCCTCCTCTCCTCCTCCTGCTCCTCGTCTTCCTCCTCCTACTCCGACGACGACGACTCCTCCTACATCCTCCCCCTCTTGGGGCGTATGGCGGCTTAACCCGCTCTTTGTTCTTCTGCATGCTCCCCCGCTTCCCTCATCACCTCCACTCCCCTGGGGCTCATTTCTGGACGGGCTGGTGGGGATACGCGAAGCGTCTAGAATTTCTCCCTGTCGCACCCCGAGGCTAATTTTTAGGGCGGTCTGGGCGTCTCGCCTGAGACCTCCGCACCATTTATGAATCTGCAGCTTGCACATTGGCAACAGCTTCACAAATGGAGGGCGGGTCGGTTTCAAAATGTTACTTTTGCTATAGCGTCACGCATGTTCGTGTTAAACATTTGCGAGGACTTCACGGATTGAGGGCGTGCCGTTTTCAAAATGTGGCTCTCGCATTAGCGCCGTGCACATCCGCTTTGAACAATTGCTAAAGATTCACGGATTGAGGGCGGGTGGTTTTCAACATATGGCTCTCGCTTTAGCGCCGCGCACACTCGTTTTGCGTGTGTGTATATATACACACACGTATTACCAAATTACACGAGTTTCGCGGATTGCGGACGGGTCGTTTTCAAAATGTGGCTCTCGACATAGCGCCACGCGCATTCGTTCAAAACATTGCAAGGGTTTCACGGATTGACGGCGGGTGGTTTTCAAAATGTGGCTCTCGATTTAGCGTCGCGCACATTCGTTCTGGAAATTTGCAAGAATTCACGGATTGAGGGCGGGTGGCTTCCAAAGTGTGGCTCTGGTCTTAGCGCCACGCACATTACTTTATAACATTTGGAAGAGTTTAACGGAATCCCATGATCAGCGTACCAAGAATTGTGTAATGGAGAGAGTCAGGATTCTGCGGGTGCAACAGGTATATTGATCCGCGGTGTTGAAATTCCCCAGAAGTGCTCTCTGGCACGGTTCAAGATCGTCAAGACGCAGCAAGCAGGTTGATCCGTTGCGTTGAAATCCCGAAGACCATATTTTGGCATGCTTCAGGGTCTTCAAGGGCGTCTTCCAACGAGGCAGTTCCCTCAATGGAAATGGACCGCTGTAGGGGCCTATGAAGAGGGAGCTTGGAGGGAGGGCTAATTCCAACAACGTTGATGACAATTTGGTTTACACTGGTCCTCCTCCTCCTTCTTCTCCTCCTCCTCTTCCTCGTCCTCCTCCTCCTCCTCCTCCTCCTCCTCCAGAGTTGGCTCAGCCCGTCCCCTTCCTGACGCGAGCTCGCGCCGGGCGGCCCGGCTGCTTCTGCCCCGCCCCCCCCCGCCACCCCCCCGGGGCCGCTTCCCACCGGTGTTTTTCCTCTTGCTGCCATGGCTCCGAGGCTTGTCGATGGTCGTCCTCTTCGTCCTCGCCCCGCCGCTGCTGAGCGCCGCGCCCAAGCTGTCAGGGCGCAGGCGCGCGCGGTACAGGCCCTCCTGCGCGCGCTTGACAGCCTGGGTCATCGGGGCTGCAGGCCAACGCGCCTTGGCGCCGCCCTCCAGGTTGCGCTCCGGATTGGACGAGGGGCTCATTGAGAATTGGGGGCGCGCACAGAGGGGGTAGGGGGAAGAGGGGAAGGCTTGCCAGAAGGAGGCTGCTTCTTGGAAGGCGCTGGCCCTACACGGATCAGGCCCGCGTCTTGTATAAGAAGCAGGGGTGCTTCTAAGAACCCCCCCACCGGCCCCACGCGTGGCTGAGAAAAGGCACAACGTGGACCAGGGTGTTCCGGAAGACCTTGCTTCCTCCAGCTCCTCTGGTGAGGGGCAACGAGGGGGGGGAATGGGCACAGGTTGGGCGCCCGAGTTATACGGGGTAACTCGGGCCCGGGGTAACTCGGGCTTGGATTCCCGAAAAACGAACCCGAGTTAGCCCTGACCCGAATTATCCCTGATGATTTGGGGCTCTAGACGCCCGAGTTATCCGGGGTAACTCGGGCCCAGGGCAACTCGGGTTCGGATTCTCGAAAAACGAACCCGAGTTAGCCCTGATCCGAATTAACTACCCCTGATGATTCGGGTCTCTGAACAGGTGGGGACGCATCGGATTGGCATCGGCGATGCATCGCCGATCGTCAAAGCACCCGACAGCGAATGCGCACCTCCCTGGGCAGCTCGGGGCTATCGGGGCGGGCCCTCTCGGCGATGTGAGTGGGCGATTGAAGGCCGATGCGTCCCCCCCGATGCCTATTCCCCCCTGTCGCTGCCCCTCCTCCTCCTCCTCCTCCTCCTCCTCCTCCTCCTCCTCACGACCATGGTGTTCCGGCAGAGCTTCCTCCAGCTCCTCTGGGCCCTGCCCACGGCAAGAGCAGCGTTAAGAACGCCGCGAGTCCACGGCCTACAGTCGGGGCGTTGACCTAAGGAACCCTAAATAAGGAACGAGGCCCCTTTTTTCCATAAGTTAAACTTCGACTTCCTATCGAAAACATAAGGAAAACCTGAGGCAAGCTGTGAAACACGTAAAGAACGCGGAGCCCCTCCCCAACCAGAAGGGTTCCTTCTTCAGGGCCCCGACTGTATGCGGGAGCTGGCCCGCAGCCTGCACCGACTCCAGGCCCTGGCAAGGGCAAGCACGGTATCGAACACAGTGGGTTCCTCGGGCGAACTGTAGGTCGGGCATGTGTCCCCCTACAGGCGGGTTTTAGACGAGAAATAAAGCATGATCCAACACATACGCAACCAATGCTCAAACATACTCAAGAACATTGTTCCCTGACTATTCTGGGCCTGTTTTTGAATGTTCCTCCTGTAGAGGGACACGCACGACTTGAGGCTAACTGTTGCTGGCATTCCTCCTGGTGGTCCTCCCGGCAATGACCGCGCGTCTGCCGAGGCTCCACGGCGCGCCCGCCGTGAACCTGAAGCGACTACTGAAAGCCGCCGCCGGGCAGCTGCTGGCCGTGCTCCACGGGCTGCTGGCGTCGACCCACCTGGCATCGCTCGGACGTCCATCCCCTGTGTTCTGGTTTCGGCTTCGTGCGTGGCGTTTTCGCCACATGATCAGGGATGCTCCTCGATGGCCCTCGCCGAAGGAAACATGCACACGTCCGGGCGATGCCAAGCCCATGGCCACGGACAAATGCACGCGAATCTCACCGACGGGCTGAGAGCGTGACTCGGCCGCCAGGCGGTCGTGCCCACCGGCGCCCGTGTGACTTGGGGCAACCAGAAGGCAACACTACCCGCACTCCGTTCTGCCCAAGAGTTATTTCGAGGCGAATCCAGCGGTGGCGGCGAGGGCCCTCCAGGAGGCCCCCAGGAAGCGGAAAGGGTAGCGGTACGGGTACTTGTGCCCCTTCTGAGATTTGCGGCCGCCGCCGCCGCCGCCGCCGTCGCTGCGATCGTTCGTTTGTCGCCGTCGTCCTCGCCGTCGGACCCACCTTGGAAGGGGGGCTGCCCAGGACCCACCATGGAAGAGGGTCCAGGGAGAGATTTTGGGTGGATTTCGGCCGCGGTCGTCGCCATCGTCGTCGTCGTCGTCCTCGCCGTCCTCGCTCGACTTCGCCGCCGTCGTCGATGGCTGTCTTTTTTGCTCCTGTTCTGCCTGGACCTCGCGCCCCTGCGCGGGCGCGCGCATACGTCAGCCTGGGAAACTAGAATCTTCCTCCTCCTCCTCCTCCTCCTCCTGCTGCTGCTCCTCCTCCTCCTCCTCCTGATTCTGCCCCTTCTCCAGATCCTCCTCCTCCTCTTCCTCCTCCTCCTCCTGCTGCTCCTCCTTCTCTTCTCCTCCTCCCCCTCCTCCTCCTGCTACTCCTCCTCTTCCTCATCCTCTTCCGTTATTACGTCGAGGCCACGACGAAGATAGCATCGGGCGAGGACAGATCGGGAATCTCTGAGATCCGGCGGCTCTGGAAGACGTCTCGGGCGCCGCGGCCTTCTCGGAGCCTTCCGGAAGGCTATGAGATCGGCCTGGCACGTTGTGGAACGGATTGACCCTCTCCTAGCCCCGTCCGATCCTCATCTCTTCTTCCTTCTCCCTCGCCCGTTCTGGAATGTCGTGGCACGGATTTATCCTCCCCTGGCCCCGTCCGGTCCTCCTCGCTTCTTCCACCTCTCTCGCCCGTTCTGGCATGCGGTGGCAGGGACGTGTCATTGATTTGCCCCGTCCGTTCCTCCTCTCTTCTTCCTCCTCTCTCGCCCGCCTCGCGCCCGCGTGCCCCCCCCCCGTCTCCTGTGGGTCACGAGGCGCTCGAGCTGCGCGGCGGCCGCGGCGTCGGCGAACAGCGCCACCTCCGCGGTGCTCCCGCGCGCACGGGCGCGCGCAAGGCAGGACCAATCGGATCCTCTGAATCGGCCTCCACGCTCCTCCTCCTCCTCTGCCTCCTCCTCCTCCTCCTCCTCCTCCTCCTCTTCCTCCTCCTTCTCCCTCCTCCACTCTCCTCCTCCTCCTCTTCCTCCTTCTCCCTCCTCCACTCTCCTCCTCCTCGTCCTCCTCCTCGTCCTCCTCCTCCTCCTCTGCCTCATCCTCCTCCTCCTCCTCCTCCTCCTCCTCCTCCTACTTCTCCCTCCTCCATGTCACATCGAATCGGCAAATCGAATCGAATCGGAATGTGCGTCGGATCGGGCCGCATCGGCACGGAGTCGGAATCAAGTCGGATCGGCTGCTACGACGAAGCCAGGGCGAGGACAAACTCGGGTGAGTGGGTAAATCGAGAATCTCTGGGAAACTACGGCGGCTGTGGAGAATGTCTCGGGCGCCGCGGCATTCTCAAAACGTTGGGGAACGCTCTGAGAGCGTTCGCAACGCTCTGGGACGGATTGATGCTCATCCTCGCCCCGCCCGACAGGATGCACATCAACGCATTGCAAAAATTCGGCCGCACCAGACCGCTGGAACGTCGAAGTCGAATCGGATTGGGCCGGCCGGAATCGATATCGAATCACGTCGATCAGATCAAAAGGGGTCCTCTTTTTCAGAATTCGTCCTCTGCCGTCCTATAAGTTGGTAAGACCCTATGTTAGAAACTACTGGCCAATCGTGATTATCCGCTGGCGAAGTGCGGTTGGAACCTGACCAGCTGCTTACTGTGTGTATATTCGTGTGTCCCATAAGACTCTGACGCGTTCCTGTCGTTAATGAAACGTTGTCACGCTTTGCAATCGTCTTAACTGGAATATACCCACACTGAGGTAGAACAACCGAATTTGATTAGTATGACGCAAAAGTGAGCCAAGCCAACTCACGATCTGATTTCGAGTAAAAACCAAGGACATCGAAAGCAAGTCTCCGCGGGGCGCAATCCGCGCCAGGGGCGTGCTGAAAGTGGGCGGGGGGTCCGCGCGCCTGAGGGGGCCCGATGCGTGCAGCGGTCGAGGCCGCCGCGGAGTGGCTGCGCGGAAGGCGGGCGGGCGGGCGGGACATCGAACGCAGACCTCACTCGTCGAGAAGAGACGGTTCGCCGTGGTCTCGGTCGTCGCCGCCGTGAGCGCAGGACAGGGTCATCGCCAGCCCGAACACATGTGGAGGGTCTTACTGTAGGTCTCAGAGCGGGTCTGGTCGCAGGCCTTAGTGTATGCAGGTCGTCGCATGTGCCTAAGTGTAAGTCCCAGTGTAGGTGCTAGTGTGGGTCTTCTTGTAGGTCCGAGTGCAAGCTTGAGTGCAGGTCGTATTGTAGTTTCTCCATGTAGCTCTTAGTGTAGGTGTTACTGTAGATAGTATGGTGATCTACGTGTAGAGTGTCGTGCATCTCTTAGTGTAAATATCATGTAACATAGGTATGGCCGTAGGCCGTTTTGTATGAACACATCGTTTTGTACTGATTGAAGGCCGTATTGATTGGCCCCCGAGCTAGAGGTTCTGGACAAATCCCTGCCTCGGGCACCCCCTCGTACCACCCCTGCGTTGCAGAATTTGAAATGGGTCTTGCATACCTGAACTGAGGTGTTTGTGTGTTATAACCGATGTGTATGTCGCACGATAGGTTCTTAGAACTTCCGCACTTGTCGAAGGCGGGTCAAGACGGCCCCAAGACGGCCGAATATTACTTCAAGGCGGCTCGGGATGCCTCCAAGAGGACCCAGAAGGGTCCTCAACGGACCTTCTACAAGGTCCGAAGGGACCGAAGGTACTGATGTCCACTGGGTTTTTGCTTGTGCGCATTCTCGTGGTTTCGAACTGCCGTCATCTCAAGACGGCATGAGAGGCAACCACGATGGCCCAAGAAGCAAGCCCGAGAAGGCCACTTGTGGGACCCAACGCGTCCTTAGAATTATGTTGTTTCCATCGTACTGATAGATCACATCCCAGAAATGATTTCGAGCGCCCGGAAGAGCGTCGAAACAGTGTCGAAGCAGAGTCGAAACAGTGTCGGACGAGTGTCTCCCAGGGCCCGACACGTGAAAACCCTCGAGTTTCGGTACTTGTCTGGTGTTCGAAATTCTCTCTGGTGATCAAAGCTAAAACAGGTTGGAACCTCATAGCCCGAGAGGGCCGACCGTGGAACCCCCAAGGCGTCCTTAGAAGGCCCCGCGGCGGCCAAAGGCGGCACAAAGACACGGCCCCACGCCGGCCCCCAGGCGCCCACGATGCGGCCAAAAAGACCCGAAGAGGCCCACGGGGCCCAAACTGGCGCAAGAGGACCCCAGCACGGCCCCGAAGGACCCCCAAGACTGCCTTACAGGAGGCCAAGGCAGCCCCAAGACAACCCAAGCGGTTTCATCATCATCATCCTCCTCCTCCTCCTTCTCATTATCATCATCATCATCATCATCATCATCATCATCATCATCATCATCATCATCATCATCATCATCATCATCATCAGCATCAGCATCAGCATCAGCATCAGCATCAGCATCAGCATCATGATGGGCATCAACATCACCACCACCATCATCATCACCACCACCCTCATCATCATCAGCATCATCATCATATTCACCACAAGCATCCTCAATCGCATTATCATCCTGACCCTCTTCAGCAACAACATCACTACCAGCACCATCAACATCCTCAACCGCATTATCATCATGACCCTCATGATCCTCATCGTCGTCATCACCACCATCGTGGTAAAACATCACTGGCACTATCATTAAAATCGTCGTCGTGACGCTGACCAGTCTACGTTGTTTCACGACTTTTGCAACTCTCACTGCTTGTCAACACGTGTCGTAGCGCGTGCGTAGATTGCCATACGTTGTTCGTACCTGGTTCCATGCAAGAGGGCGAGGAAGAGGAGGACGAGGACGACGAGAACGACGACTAGGACCACGAAGAGAATGAAGAGGACGAGGAGGATTAGGGTGCGGATGATGAGGAGGATAAGGGGCGGAGGGGGAGGGCGACGTGGAGGAGGAAGGCGACGAAGACGGGCAGGATGGCGATGACGAGGACGAGTGTGATGACGTTGGCGAGGAGGGCGAAGACCTGGACGAGAAGGGGCTGAAGGAGGGCGACAACAACAAGGACGAGGAGGTTTGAGGACGAGGACTTCTTGTAAGGCAAGCCTGGAGCTCTCCTGCACAGTCGCAGCGAACGTCGCTCGCGCCCGCCAGCCAGCAAATGCATACAACCAATCACACACAATACACCCATCATTTTTATCATCGAGGGTCTCCCAAGGGTATCTCGAGGGAACCTCGCGGGTATCTTGGGTATCGCGCGTGGCTATATTGCTGGACATCTCGCGAGGTGCCTCGACGTATCTCGCCGCGACCCCTCTCGGGCCGTCCTGGCGGCCCTTTGGACAGCACTGGAGCCATCCTGGGCCATGAAGACGAGGGCGGTCGGATCGCCGCGTCAGGCTGGGCTGGTATCTAACGTGCATCCTGGACAGGTCCGAATGGCCATGGAAGAGCCCACGGTGGCGACTGCACCTACGGTAAGTTCGTGCAGCGTCGGCACGCGCAAAGGTTTTTGACGCCGAATTGATCGTTCAACCTTGAACCGATCGCGACTGCGATCATTCAAGGTTGAATCCCGTCGGGTCTAAAGGCGATACCGTGTCCATGAGGTCTGCAGCATCGTGTAATGCAGCCTTGAACGCATTGGTCGGCGTCGCAGGCGCGCCAACGCCGCGGGAACCTACCGTACCATGCCTCCCCGCGGGTCTCATTAGCAACAAAGGTGGCCCTGGACGGTTTCTCCCGGGGGAGGGGCGGTGGAAGAGGAGATGGAGGAAGAGGAGGTGGAGGAGGAGATGGAGGAGGAGGAGGAGGAGGAGGAGGAGGAGGAGGAGGAGGAGGAGGAGAGGAGGAGATGGGTGAGGAGAAGAAGGAGGAGAAGGAGGTGGAGGAGGGGAGGAGGGAGAGGGGGAGGAGGAGATGACGGAGGAGGCGGAGGAGGAGGAGGAGGAGGAGGAGGAGGAGGAGGGGGAGGAGGTGGAGGAGGAGGAGACGGAGGGAGGAGGAGGAGGAGGAGGAGGAGGAGGAGGAGGAGGAGGAGGAGGAGGAGGAGGAGGAGAGGGAGGAGGAGGAGGATGAGGAGCAGGAGGAGAGGAGGAGGAGGAGGAGGAGCTGAGGAGGAGAGGAGGAGGAGGAGGAGGAGGAGGAGGAGGAGGAGGAGGAGGAGGAGGAGAGGGAGGAGGGAGGAGGAGAGGAGGAGGAGGAGGAGGAGGATAGGGAGGAGGAGGAGGAGGAGGAGGAGGAGGAGGAGGAGGAGGGGGGAGAAGGAGAATGAGGAGGAGGAGGAGGAGGAGGAGGAGGAGGAGGAGGAGGAGGATGGGTCGCCTACCTAACCCGTCTCCACACCTACCCCGCCCCCCCGCGGGTCTCACGTTGGCGCCCCGGGTGGCCCCCCCTTCCCGGCGGGCCCCGCACAAAAAAAAGCGGCTGTGGGCGGCTCGGGCCCCGGCTGCTGCGCCTGCGCAGCCGAACTTTTGCCCCCCCTTGCGGGATCCACCCCTCCTGGGAGCCTGGCTCCCAAGAGGCTCCCTTCAGGCTGCATGTTTTCCCCCAGGGCCGCAGGCGACCCGAGGAGGAGGAGGAGGAGGAGGAGGACGGGTCGCCTAAGCCCTTCGGAGAAACCCTCCATTTAAGGTTCCCATCCCCCACGCCAAGTTCGGCACACCCCTGGCAGGGTTCGTCCCCCAGGGAGCTCCAGCGAACGCCCCCGCGGGCGCGTTCGCGCGCGGTCCCCCCGATCATTTCGGCGCGCCGCTCGCGCGGATTGCGCCTGGCGAGAGCTGCATCCGAAGGCCCCATGGCTCCCCCAAGGCTCGTCCGAGGATGGTTTGTAGCTGGCTCGCAACTGCTGCGTAGCCCGAGGATTGGTTGTAACTGCTGCGTAGCTGTTGGAATTGGCGTGCAACTTGAACAGTGGCCGCCTGAGAGCCGGTCAACACGCGGCGGACGGCTGCGACGTAATTGAGCTACCAATGGGAAGCCGATTATTTCCTCACACATTATCCGGCTGTATCACAATACCCAACAGTTATCACAATAGCCGGTGTAATATTTTAATGACTTTGGAAGAGCTGCTCTAGCACAATAGCCCGCGGCGTTGGTTACAACACTAGCAACCCTTTTATAATGCCATTCACGTCCCGCATACCAGATGTATCACCAAACTGTACGTGACCCAGTCCCATCTTCTGCAAAATGGACACCCCTAGGGGACATTCTGGGGAGGGGCAGCGGGAAAGAGCTCCGCGACAGTCGCATCGGTATCGATTACCTCGAAACGCTTCGAAAACGCAGTGGACGCGGGAAGATGGCGGTCAAGTGGGCCACGGGCCGATCGCAGGCCCGACCTCGTCACGACAGCGTCTCCACACGCGAGACGCACGACGGGCCGAGCGCAGACCCGCCGTCGCGGCAGCAAGCGTGACAACTCTCGAACACGCCGACCTCCCACGCGGGAACAGAAAAAGCGCCCCCCGCGTTGCGGACACCATCATGGCATCTGGAGCTTAGTGGGCCCTGGAAAAGGCAGGGCCGTTTTTTCACCGTTTCCAAAAAAATGTCCCCTGAAAATGGAAACGGCAAAAAAACGGCGACCGGAAACGGCAAAAAAACGGCTCCAGGATTGGAACCGGAGCCGGAACCGGTCAAAAAACGGCGACGGAACCGGTAAACAAACGGCGTCGGAACCGGGAACAAAAACGGCAGAACGGAACCGGCAAAAAAACGGCCCTGTCGTTTCCAGGGCCCACTAAGATCTGGAACCCTCCGGAGCGGCCGTGGGCGACCTCCGCAGCCGCATCCGCGGCCTCGCGGGCCGAGGCCCCGTGGGCCGCGACCGCGAGGACACCCGGCGCCCCGTTGCGCTGCCGCCCCGCGCCGCACGCCTCCGTGCGGCCGCGCGTCCGCGGGGTCGCGCCTCGGAGTCCAGACGGCGAGGGCGCGGACATATATATATATATATACATACATATATATATATATGTATATATATAAATATATGTATATATACACACGGGTACTCGCCACCGCTCGGGCGTCCCTTCCCCTTTGCCCCCTGTTCGGCTTTGTCCGTAGACCTTTCTTCGCGAGAGGACGCCACATGCTCCTCGATGGTCCTCGCCAAGACACGGCGCACACGAACGAGCGATCAGGAGAAGAGACGTGCTGGAAGCATAAACTTTTGGCGCTCAGCGCGGCTTTCTTGGATCTGCGCTGGACCCCCCTCCCTGGCGCGCGGAGCGCGCCAGGGGCAGCGCTGGATTCGCCGCCGGGGGGGCCCAGCGCGGATCCCAAAAATCCGCGCGGAGCGCCAACATTTCTATGTTTGTGTTTTTTTCTTCTTCGAGCGATGCCAAGGATCTGTCCGCCGCCCGTGACGGCCGGCCCATCCTCTGGGCCGAGGCCTACGGTCAGCCCCCTGCGTACCCATCGGTCGGAAGAAGCAGGCAGAAACATGAAGTAGGAAGGCGTTGAAAGCAGATTCAGTTCCGTCCGCCCCCTGAGAAGGACGGAAAAGGTGAACCCACCCGATCATTGGAGTAGGGAGGCGCTTAAAAGACATTGGAATTTGGAATCGGCGGTGGGCAACCCTCCATGTAGTAAGCCTCGATTTTGTAAAAACGGCCTATAGGACCGAAGCCGACGGACCTGGACCCGCAGACACTGACGGCAGCGACGCCCTCTCGCGAACCGAAAACGCCCAATTCGCTGATCGACGTGTCAGCGTAGAAGGTCTACTCCAAATTCCTTATTGACCGACCCCAAACCGGACCCCCCTCCAAATGCGACCTGATATTCGGGACTCTCCTCTTCGACGGGGCGCCTTTTTAAGCCGGACCCCCTAGGCTCCAAGCCAAAGAAAGCACCCTAATAAACCCGACCCACCCAGTTACAAACAAAAACTCCTTTAAAAACCGGATCGGGGGACGAAAAATCTGAAAGCACCCTCCGAAAAACACCGACTTTTATGTCGGGCGGGATTTTCGACGGAAAAAAAAAACACCCCAAAAATACCCCAAGAAGGTCAAAAATAACCCAAAAAAAAATCACCAGACTATTTTTTGATGATTGTTTGACTATTTTGAGGGTATTGTTTATTTTTCGTCGAAAATCCCCCTGTAGGGGGACATGCCCGACTTAAACAGACTTTCAACGACCGGTGCGTGCAGCTGCGGCCGCTCGGCATCTCGGCGCGGGCGCGGCGCAGCCGCGGCGCCGCCGCGCCCTGCGCAAGGCTTAAGGGGGGGCGCGGGGGCGAGGAGCTCTCGCGGCGCAGGCTCGGAGCGGACGCCCGAGGCCGGGCACGGACCACAGTGGGCACAGCGGGGCCCCCCAAATTCGACGCCGAATCGACGCCAATCGCCGCCAGCCGACGCTCGGTCGTCGCTGCCGCATCGCCTCCCAGACGATAATCGGCGCTGGTCGACGCTGAAGACGAACATCCACAGGGCGCGCCGGGGTCGGCCGCTCGGCCGCTCGGCGCGGGCGCGGCGCCCGCGGCGCAGGCTCGCTGCGGACGCCCGAAGCCGGGTACGGACAGAGTGGGCACTGAATCGACGCTACCTTACTTAAGTCGGGTCGGGCGAAAGGGGGGGATAGCAAAGGGGGGGTTTGAGAATCAGCTCACGTAGCTGATTTTCCCGGCGCCTCCCGGCGCCGGATGGAGCTATGTATCGAGGAATGGGCCCCTCGGTGAGGCCGAAACCAGCTGCATGCAGCAAATTTCGTAACCCCCCCTTTCCCAATCCCCCCCTTTCGCCCGACCCGATTAAGGAAGAATGCAGAACAGTGGAAGCAACGCGGGCCCGAGACGCACCTACGCCTTCCTAAGGGCAAGGACGCCTGAAGATCAGGGGGGATACCCCTGAGGGGAAGAGGGGGGGAGGAGGAGGGGAGAGGAACAGGAAGGCGGAGGAAGCGGGCCGTGGGACCTGAGCCACCGACCCCCAGCGTTAGGCGCGCGCACGCCCGCCTGAGGAGGCAAGGAGCGGGAGAAAAGAAGGAAGGGGGAGGGGGAAAAGGAGGGAGGAATCGACGCTAGCCGACGCTAAAGCGGCGCTATCTCACCGCCTCCAAGACGCTAATCGACGCTTGTCGACGCCAGGGACGAAAATTCACAGGGCGCGCCAGGCTCCCATGACTTGCTGCCGACGCAGAAGATCCGCCCCAGCAATACAGTGGAGGCCAGTCCACAAGAAACCTGCCACGAGAAACCCAACCCTGGGACCCCCGGACGCCCACATTGATTTATGGCGTGGGAACGCCTCGCTCTCCGAAGCAAAACCGTCGAAGCCCAGGAAAACCAGGGCACCCTGGAGGCAAGCAGGGCGTTTCTTGGCATGGGCCTCCACGGTACTGAAGGGGCCCCAGGACACACAAATAAATACACACAAATAAACATTTTCCCCATAGTTTCCTATATATTCTGGGTTTCTGTCTTCCCCCCCACTTCCCATACTTTCCTATATTTTCTGGGGAGTCGACGATTGATTGTGTCTGTGTGTTCCTTTCCCTTCTGAGCTACGATGCCCAGCAGCAACGATGCCTGGCAGCAAAGGCTGCCCCAGACCGACAGCGGCCGCTGCTGGGCAGGGCGGCCTTCGGTCTCACACGGACCACGGCCGCGGCGGCGAGGACGGCGAGTCTGCCTCACAGGAGGAGCAGCAACTGCTGCTGGACATCGCGCCCGCTCTTCCTTGTACCCATTTCGCTCTGAGCACCGTCTCACCGATCCCCATCCCCGCCGGCGTGGGCCGGGCCACACTGGCCGATGTACCCCCCCCTGGATGGGGATATGGGCTGCTCTCTTCGGGTCTCGAAGGGCGCATCCCCGACCGAGGTGGTGCGACGGCGGGGCTCGAGTTGCGGATGGGCATGGGTGAAGGGGCCCACAGACACACAAACAAATACACACAAATAAACAGATCCCCCATATTCTCCCATATGTTCTGGGTGTTTGTCTTCCCCCCCCCCACTTCCCATACTTTCGCATATTTCCCTGGGAGTCGACGATTCATTGTGTCTGTGTGTTTCCTCCCCTCCTGAGTGGGGATGGGCATCGGTGAAACGATGCTGACGTTCGTGCCGCCTCGCGGGGAGCGGGGCCACCGACTCGCTCAGCAGCACGTTGGAGCGGTGCACGTTGACCACGCGCACCTCCTTGGTGCGGGCCTGCGCGGGAGGGGTGCACGGCGCGCGGCCGAGAGCGCGCGCGTGGGCGCGCGCCGCCTCTCCCTCCCCTCCGGGCCTCTCGCGGAGACAGGCGGGTTGAGACACCGGAAAAGAGACACGAGGCCAGGACGAAGGTAACATGCGTCGGTCGTGATACATCGAGAATATCTCTGAGATCTGGCGGCTCTGGAGGATGCCTCGGGCGCCGCGGCCTTCCCAGAGCGTCCGGGCCCGAACGCTCTGAGAGCGTTCCAGCACGCTCTTGGAACGGAATTGTCCTCGCCGTAGCCCCGTCCGACGGAACCTCAACATCGACCCGAGATTGATCCCCGGACCCCTCCGGGGTCCAAACGCACCCAGTCCTCCAAGCTGCGCTCAGCCATGGCGACGAGGGGCCCCCCCGAAAGCCAGCTGACAGTGTCTCAAATCGCCCTCCCCTGCCCTGTTTCCAAGGGCTCCCAACTTCGCGCTTCGCGCTGCGCGAAGCGCGACGTGCGAATAGCTTCGCGCTCTCGCGCCGCCTCCCCGGGGAGAAGAGGAGGATGAGGGGGAATCGGAGCCGAACCGCGAAGAGCGACGCGCGAATAACTTCGCGCCCTCGAGGGCGCCCTTGTCTTTCGCGCCCCCGGTCAGCGTCTCATCGTCCCTCGCTTCCTCCCTCCTCTGCCACAGGGCCCCTCTCGCGCTGCTGCGCCGGTCCTTTTGCCATCGCTCGGGCGTCGCGTCCCAGTGCATCTGTCGGCTTCGTGTGTCGCTGTTCTTCCCCCGCGAGATGATCCAGTATGCTCCTTGATGGTCCTCGCCGAGAAAAAAAACACACGCCCGAGCGACGCCAAGAAAAGACGGCGCGGGCATGCGCGGGCCGCTCTGGAAGACGACGACGACGACGACGACGGCGACGGCGACGACGGACGACGACGACGACGACGACGACGACGACGACGACGGACGATGACGACGACGAACGACGGACGACGGACCACGACGACGACGACGACGACGACGACGACGACGACGGACGACGACGAACGAACGAACGAACGAACGAACGAACGAACGACGACGACGACGACGACGACGACGAACCACGGATGACGGACCACGATTAAGTCCGGCCTGTCCCCCTACAGGGGGATTTTCGACGAAAAATACACAATACCCCAACAATGATCAAAAAATAGTCCAAAAATAGTCTGGGGACTGTTTTTGGAATAGTTTTTGATTTTTTGGGGGGGTATTTTTGGTGTATTTTTTTTTTTTCGTCGAAAATCCCCCTGTAGGGGGACAGGCCCGACTTAAGACCACGACGACGACGACGACGACGACGACGACGACGACGACGGCAAGAAGGAGCCAGCAGGCGCGGGCCGCTCGGGGCGGCCCGCCGCGCGCCGCGCAACCCCTGCCGGGCCGAGCAGGGAGGCCGACGCCGGCGGGCGCGCGCCGACGCCGCGCCGCGCCCGCCGGGTGCCCTCGAGATGGTGGGCCTGTCGTCCGCCGCCGCCACCACAAGAAGGAGGGGGAGAGGCTTTTCCTCCTCCTCCTCCTCCTCCTCCTCCTCGTCGTCCTCCTCCTCCTCCTCCTCTTCGTCCTCCTCCTCTTCGTCCTCCTCCTCTTCGTCCTCCTCCTCCTCATCCTCCTCCTCCTCCTCCTCCTCTTCGTCCTCCTCCTCTTCGTCCTCTTCCTCCTCGTCCTCCTCCTCCTCATCCTCCACCTCCTCCCCCCCTCCAACTTATTGCGGTGGTGGTGGACAACAGGCCCATCAATAGCAAGCCGCGATGGGCCACCTGCGCTACAACTCTCAAGGCCCCCAGGCGGCGGCCTCACGAAACGGAAGACGGGTCTGGGTATACGTCGCCGGATCTTGGTGCTCAGCGCCGCGTGAAGCACAGAACGCTGCTGCACATTCAAGTGGCACGTGCGCCCGCAGGCCCCATACAAAAAACAAGTGGGGCGACCGATCGGGTTGCCACAGCCTGCGATTCGACGTCACCACGCTGGGAAGCACCCCTGTGGGCATTACACAACAGCGGATAACGCTGAGTTGAATAACTTCACTGAAAAAACTGAGCTTGCGCCCTTCTGACGTATACATCAATGTTTTCCTCTGTGCTGTTGACAGATTTCTTGATAGTGATGAACAAATGCACTGGCTGGGAACTACTAGTGCACATCCAACGGATTTCTATCACTTATGCTCAACATCATTCGAATACGTTGTGCGAAGGTTCTGCGGAAAATGTTGAACATTCATTGTATTGTTTGACCCTGACGTTGCGATCTAAGTGAGAAGTGCGTCCAGCATTCTGATCAATACGGATGTCCCGAGCGAAACGGCCAGGCACAAACACGGACGGCATGGGACGGCTTCGCCAAGAACCGCCTCTGTGCTTCACTCCCTCGGGTAGGTGCGTACGAGACCATGTGCACATGTAAGATGTATTGCATAGTGCACGTTTTGCGCATACACACGCACATATATATATATATATATATGTATACACACATAGAAATACATGCATATTAGATATGTATAGGATGCGAGGACAATGTATGTGCCTTTTCATTCACCTGACTATATACACATGTATTCTCATACGCACCTCTCCGAGGGAGTAGAGCTCAGAGGCGATTAATGCGCACGCGTCCGCGATTTTTCTGGGCGTTTCGCTCGGGACATCCTCGACATTCTGAAAATCGGTGGCACCCCCAGATCGTGACGTCAGGGTCCAAAAACACATGGGAATTTCAACATGTTCACATAAAACCTTCAAAAACACATGGTAATTTCAATAATTGTGACCCCGATTCTCAGGGAATGGCGGTTTCGGTTGAAAAATCCTTCCAAAATCGAGCCCCAGGCCCCGCCTCTGAGCCTCCTGGGGGCCTCCTGGAACCTCCTGGGGCCTCCTGGGGCTTTCTGAACCTTCTGACACCCCAGACCCCGCCTCGGAGCCTCCTGGGGGTCTCCTGAAACCTCCTGGGGCCTCCTGGGGCCTCCTGCGGCCTCCTGGAGCCTCTCGGGGCCTCCTGAAGCCTCCTGGGGTCTCCTGGGGCCTCCTGAGGCCGCCTGGGGCTTCCTGGGGCCTCCTGGGGCTTCAGAACTACATGCACACAGAGACACAAATCACGCCCAACACATCACACGCTAGACAAACATACACACACACAACACCTACAACACACAAAAAGCACGCACCACACAAAGCATACATCACACACACACACGCACAACACTCACAATCCTGGGGCCTCCTGGAGCCTCTTCTGGTATCCAAGTCGGGCCTCCTGAGGCTTCCGGGGGGGTCCTGGTACACACATCGCAAGGTGTGGCAACCCCACTTGCGCTCGAGTGCGACTTCGATGTTGCATTTCACTCCTGCTTCAAACGCCCCTGCAATTTTTTGTATGAGCCTGGGCACACACGTGCCACTTGTATGCCTATATGTGCGTGTGTGTGCGTGTGAGAGAGAAGGGGGGGATACTCGCACTCTCGCGCCGTTTCCCCCCTCAGGAATCACACGCGCGCATGCTCATAGGTGTGAGCATGCATGCATGCATGCATGCATGCATGTGTGTGCAAGCCGGTCCACAATCCATAAGCACACACACATGCACGTGCGTGTGCAGGTCGGCCCATGCATGCATGCATGGGCCGTATGCGTGCACGTACGTGTGCACATTTGTGTGCAAGTCGGTCACTATTAGGTGTGAGCATGCATGCATCCCCGCGTGTGTGCAAGTCGGCCCATGAGCCCCTCCGTGCAGGCCACGGCGGGCGAGGCAGGGCCGCCTCCGCGCCCCTGCGCGCGGCATCGTGCGAGAACCTCGGGGGCTCCAGTGCGGCAGGAAGAGGAGGAGGAGGAGGAGGAGGAGGAGGAGAAGGAGGAGGGAGGAGGTGGAGGAGGAGGGGAGAGGGAGGAGGAGGAGGAGGAGGAGGGAGGAGGAGGAGGAGGAGGAGGAGGTGGAGGAGGGAGGAGGAGAGGAGAAGGAGGAGGAGGAGGAGGAGGAGGAGGAGGAGGAGGTGGAGAGAGAGGAGAGGAGGAGGAGGAAGGAGGAGGAGGAGGAGGAGGGAGGAGGAGGAGGAGGAGGAGAGGAGTGGAGGAGGAGGAGGAGGAGGAGGAGGAGGCGGAGGAGGAGGAGGAGGAGGAGGGGGAGGAGGGAGGAGGGAGGAGGAGGAGGAGGGAAGGAGGGAGGAAGAGGAGAAGGAGGTGGTGGAGGAGGAGGAGCGTCATCTCGGAACTCTCGCGGCGGGAGCGGGGGGGGCACGGGGGACCCCATCCCGCACGCCCTCGCGCCTCGGGGGGACCTGGGACCTCGGAGGGCCTCGGGCGGGGGCCCTGGGGAAGCAGGCCGTTTTCTTCCCTCCTCCTCCTCCTCCTCCTCCTCCTCCGTCCTCCTCCTCCTCCTCCTCCTCCTCCTCCTCCTCCTCCTCCTCCTCCTCCTCCTCGGGGGGGGGCTTCGGAGGACCTTGGTGGAAGGCGAGGGGCCGGGGGGGCGACCCCGGGGCGTTCGGGTGGCCTCGGAGGAACTCTGGGGGCTCGTGGGGGCGTCGGGAGATACGATTGGCTCTGGCCCAGGGGCCCAATTGGCCGAGGCCAACGCCGCCGCTCTGAGGGCCAGACGGGGGCAAGAGTCAGACATTAAACTCCTCGGTCCGTCGTTTTTTTCTCCTCGGGTGTCCTGACTCCTACTCCTCCATCATCGCCTCGAGCTCGTGGGCGCGAGCAGCCAGGCAGACGCTGGCCACGCCAAGTGAGCCTCCACGCTCCGCCTGACTGGCCCCCACCTGTGCAGCCCCCAGCCGAGCAGCCCAACTCCTGTCACCCTCACTCCCCATATCACTCGACCTCTGCCAGTAGAAGAATGACAAAAAACATAAACATTAACTTTTGGCGCTCCGCGCTGATGTCTTGGATTCGAGCTGCACCCCCTCCCTGGCGCGCGGAGCACGCCAGGAGCGGCGCCGGAGGCGCCGCCAGGGGGGGCCAGGCGCGGATCCAAAAAGTCCGCGCGGAGCGCCAAAAGCTTATGTTTATGGCGATGCTTCTTCTTCGACCCACTCTCCACATCGCCCAACCGTTGCCACGACGAAAGCCAGCAGCGTCCCTCGAGGTAAGCGGTCCTGGACCCCAGGGGCCCCCCCCCCCGACCGGCCTCTGGACCTGCGCCGTCCGCTCGCGAACCTGGGGGCCTGTCTGCGCCTGTAGCCCGCAGCCTTGCCGTTGCCCGGGGGCCCCTCCTCGGGTTCGGGGGACTCGGGCTGGCCTGACGGGGCCGTCAGGGAAAGTTACAAGACCCAGTCTGAAACTTGGCGCGAGGTCCCGCCGCGCTACGCTGCGCCACTCCCGATGGGCCCGGAGGCCGTGCCAATCTGGAACTCGGAGCTCGGGGGAAACACTTGGCACGTGCCTCGGGCACCCAAGCAAACGTGCGATCGTCCTGCGTGGACTGCTCCTCGGGCAGGCAGGGGCGGGGAGCCAAAGAGGGCGGGGGAATAAGGGACAGAACTCCCGCCGCGCACATCCAGAGAACATCGGACCATCAAAATTTTAGGGGCGGACCCGTCAAGCAGCGTCGGCAAGCCCGAGCTCCAGCGAACTCGGGTCTTACCGTCGGGGCGTTGACCTAAGGAACCCTAAATAAGGAACGAGGCCCCTTTTTTCCCATAAGTTAAATTTCGATGTTCCATGGAACACCTCAGGAACACCTGAGGCAAGCTGTACACCAATCGAGGAGCCCCGAGCCCCTCCCCAACGAAAAGGGTTCCTTCCTCAGCGCCCCGACTGTACTGTTCCCCGGGCCTGGTGGGGGTTGTACGCCAGGTGGTCGGCCTCGGGAATGGCGACCAGCGCCAGGCGCGCCCCCACCTGCGAGCCCAGCAGAAGGGCCACCGTGCCCTCCTCTCCGCCCCGACCCTCTGCTCCCGCCTGCGAGGGGCTCGATCGAATCGTTCCTCGATCGATCTGTGATCGATCCTCGATCCTCTGTCCTCGATCGGCCCTCGATCCTCGACCCTCGATACTCGATGCCTATCCCCGGGGGTCGAAGATTAAGGGGGAGGAGGGGGGAGGGATGACCTACTCAGAGGGTCGAGTTTCGAGGGTTCGAGGGTTCGAGGGTCGAGGGTGGCAGCTCGATGGGGTCGAGGTGTTTCAAGGTCGCGCCCCGATGCTCCAGGATAGAGTCGTGCAGGTTCCAACGCCGATGTAACTCTAATTACACGCTGGTCGCAATACATCGCTGAAATAATGACGCAGGACGGCGGATAAAGCAGATTGGTATCAGGCGCTCCCAGAGAATAACAAAACGCAGCAAACACACATCGAGCCTTGGAGTAGGAAGGCGCTTGAAGTAGCCTGGGATCTGGGGATCCCGAGCTATACCTGCTCTCAACGACCGGCATATGCACCACGCCGCTTGGTCTGCCAGGGGTTGGGTCGGGCGGGTCCCCCTACAGATGGGCTTTAAACGAACAATCACGAATACTTCAAACAAAAACTTAGTCCCCAAGCTATTGTTTGACTATTTTTGAATGCTGCTCCTGTAGAGGGCAGGCCCGACTCAAGCCAAGGAGCTCGGTGCATGGATCGGGTCGGGCGAAAGGGGGGGATAGCAAAGGGGGGGGGTTGAGAATCAGCTCATGTAGCTGATTTTCCCGGCGCCTCCCGGCGCCAGAGGCGGCTATGTATCGATGAACGGGCCCGGTGGCGGGGCCGAAACCAGCTGCATGCAGCAAATTTCGTAACCCCCCCTTTCCCAATCCCCCCCTTTCGTCCGGCCCGCATGGACGCCCCAGATCTGCCCAACCCGTCGACCGCTGGAGGGGCTCCGACGCTGGAGGGCCTCTGCTTGCCCCAGGAGCGCCACGCGAGGAGGAAGGGAGAAGACCAGGCCGCAGCCCGCGTGGAGCGACCGGCGCGGGCCCGCACGGGGGATTTTGGATGAAAATTGAAACACATACCCCAAAAATGATGCAAAACTGCCCCAGACTGGTAAAACAAAATCGCCCCCACACTATGTTTGGACTATTTCCGGATATTCCCCCTGTCGAGGGACAAGCCCGACTTCACAGTCAGGGAGACCGCGGGGAGAGAGAGACCGGCGCAGGCGCACACGGGCGGCAAGGCGGAGAGCTCGCGGTGGAGCTCGTGCGACACCACGCCACCACGGCGGCAAGAGGCAGAGAGAGAGAGAGAGCGAGGGGGGGGAAGAGGAAGCGGAGGGGAGGAGGCAAGCTGCGCAGAGCCGACAAACACCGCAATCCATTGCAACGCCAGTTTGTACTACCGCCCCTCCTTTGATCAATCTCCTCCAAGGTGGCACCCGAGGCTCACGAGGGTGCGCCAAGAGGGCCCTGAGAGGTGCCCAGGGGGCCCCAAGAGGCCCCCAAGAGGCCCCCAAGATATCCCCCCATCCCCAAAAGGCCGCAAGAGGCCCCCGAGAGGCACCCAAGATGCCCCAAGAGGTCTCGGCGAGAAGACCAAAATCGATGGATTGACTACGGTTTGGGCTACATGTTGGCCTCCGGGGGGGGGGAACCCTAAGCAAGGAGTCGCTTTGATCGATCTCTTCCAAGATGGCCCCAAGATAGCCCTGGAGGCTCCCCAGGGTACACTAAGGGAGCCCCAAGAGGTGCGAGGAGGCCCCAAGAGGCCCCCACGATGACCCCAAGATGCCCCCACGAAGCTCCCAAGAGACCCCCTAAGAGGCTCCAAGAGGCCCCACAGAGGCTCCCAAGACGCCTCCAGAGGCCCCAAGGACTGCCAAGAGACCCCAAAGACGCCCCAAGAGGACTCCAAGAAACTCACGGAAGGAAGCCGAAGAGACTCCGAGAGGCATCATCCAAAAGGCCTCTGGCCATTCAGCTCGCCCTCCTCCTCCCCCTCTCCTCCTCTTTCTCCTCATCCTCTTCCTCATCCACGTGCTCCTCCTCTTTCCTCCCCCCTCCTACCCCTCCCGCTCTCCCTACTCCCCCTCCTCCTGTTCCTCCTCATATTCCTCCTCCATCCTCCCCCTCTTAGGGGAGGACGTCTTATCCAGCTATTTAATACACTGCATGATCTTCTACAACCCTCGTCAGGGCAACTCGTCTGGACATAGTTCCTGCATGTTCTGGGGGGGGTTGCGCGGACGATCTAGAATTATCACCTGAGCGGCGGAGAGCATCGGCCGCACCTGCCCCGCACCACGACGGCAACACATGGCGTTCTGAACGAGCCGCTCGACGGCCGCACCCAAACCCGTCCTGGAGGACGTTCTGACCAGAGTTCTGAAGCGGATCTGGCCGTGGCCATGAGGGTGACCCACGAGGCCCAAGAAGGGCTTCACGATCGTCGTTAAAGCAAACGCCCTCGTGGAAACTCGTTGCCCGCCTTTCCTCCGCCTCCTCGACGATCTCCCCTCAAAATCGGTTCCCGGACCCTTCCCGGGGCCCTCTCCGGCAAGTTGTCGCACGAGGGACGAGTGACGGCACCAAGGCCCGAAGACAAACCGAAGCAGAAGGAGGATCCATTTCTGCTCTCATGCGCCAACTCTTGCTTATTGGATGGGGGCCCGTGTCTCCTGATCAGTGGCACGGGCCCGTACTTGATGGAGTTCCAGACTTCACGTGGAATCTCAGCACCAAGAAGTTGGCCAGTTTTGAACGCGAGACATGATGCAAGAGTTTGTTCAGGCCCTTCAGACTCGTCAGTGGAAGCAGGCAACTGATCACTTCGGTGGTGCAGGTTTGGAGGACGGTGCCGACAACCGCAATCGTCGTTTTCTCTTGCTTCAGCTTCAGGGCGCTCCTCGGGGGCGCCAGCTAGCTGAACTCTTACTTAGTATTGCAGTAGGCGGGTCATGGTTGCAGGCTAGGAAGAAGGACGAGGGCCTCACCACGGACGACTTATGCCCTCGTCGTTGTGAAGCGCCCGAAGCCCCTGCCCATCGTCACTGGCTTTGTCCTAAGAGCTGTGGCCACGAGATGTATGACCAGTCCGCTGACCTCGTCGCAGAGACGCTGGTGCAGGGGGACGCTCGCGCTTGCGTCTGGCATCGAGGTCTTATCCCTCGGAGTTGGACTGCTTTTGATCCGCCTACTAGCACCGAGCAGTGGAGCGTCACGGGCATTGATAGTTTAGACAAGGGCTGTCTTGGTACTGGAACCTGGCATGATCCCATATGTGTCTGTGGAGATGCCTCAGGAGGTCCCGATGGTCGAGATCCCAAGTTGCGGAGGGTCGCCTTGGCCATTGTCAAGATCGGTAGCTTTGCACCCTTCCTCGCCTCCACCTCCATCTCGGGCCCCCTCCCAGGCACTCCTCAAACTGTTCCTCGTGGTGAGCTCCTCGCGTTCATCATCACCCTGAGGTTCTCTCGAGGCCACGTCATTTTCGCTTCGGACAGCGAGGAAGTCGTGCGCGGGTTCTGAAAGAAAAAATGGACTCAGCCTCAGGGCGAGCTTGCAGATTTATGGCGATCCGTCGGCCAGTTGATGTCCGACCGCTCTCACGAGCAAGTAGTAGTGCTTCAGGTACCTTCTCATCCCACTCCTCAAGGTATCGTGTGTAAACGAGTGGCTGGGTTGATGGTGTCAGGCAATATCATAGCAGACTCTCTCGCAGAGGACAAGGCCGAACTGATTCGTGTCTCAGAAGCTCAGCGGTTCCAGGTCATGGATGCAGAGAGGAAGGCGTCGCTCATCAGGAAACGGCTTTTAAGATCCACTCTCGAGGTCATCGAGGCAGATTGTCTCTCACAGGTCGAGAAAAGACGGGCTGGTCGAGATGCCGCTGCTGTTGCGCCTGTTCCCTCCCCCCCTCTCCCTCCCCCGCCCGCGCCCGCCGCTCTCGCCCTGTTCGCGTCCGGGCATCAGCTGGCCGACGACGGCCATTCCTGCTCGCGGTGCTTCAACAACTGCACCAAGGCGGGCCGCACCCAGTGGCTCACCACGCCGTGCCTCCCGCTGGTGCCAGCCACAGGGAACTTCCTTCAGCCCCCCCCCCTCGGGTCGTGTGTACATAGGTGGAGGATGGGTTCATCAGGATCCTAGGATGAGGTTTCAATCGGAGGTAGGAGCTAGGATTTGCGTCGCACGTGGCAACTTCGGACAGCAGTTGAGAGCCCTGAGTTTGCCATGCGATCCAAGATCTATTGCCAAGAAGCGGAGGGAGTACCTCAGTCGTGTGGAGCACGGTTTACTCCCAAGTAGTTCGTCGTTTCGATATTGCTTCGCAATCTTTACGGATCCGAATCCTCCTCCTCCTCCTCCTCCTCCTCCTCCTCTCCCTCCTCCTCTCCCTCCTCTCCTCCTCCTCCTCCTCCTCCTCCTCCTCCTCCTCCTCCTCCTCTTCCTACTCCTCCTCCATTCCTTCCCCTTATGAATAACTCCTCCCTGTCGCACCCCGAGGCCAGTTTTTAGGGCGGGCCTGGCGTTTCGCCTGAGACTTCCTCACCATCTTTGACTCTGCAGCTTAAACAGTGACAACAGGTTCACAGATGGAGGGCGGGTGGTTTTCAAAATGTGGTTCTCACCTTAGCGCCGCGCGCATTCGGTTTTAACATTTGCAAGAGCTTCACATATTGAGGGCGGGTCATGTTCAAAATGTGGCTCTCGCCCCAACGCCGCGCACATACTTTGTTAAAAATGATAATGGTTTCACGGATTGAGGGCAGGTTGTTTTCAAAATGCGGCTCTCGCCTCAACGCCGCGCGCATTCGGCATTCGTTTTAAACATTTGCAAAGGTTTCACGGATTCAGAGCGGGTCGTTTTCAAAATGTGGCTCTCGCCTTAGCGCCGCGCACATTCTTTGCAAACACTTGCAAGAGTCTCACGGATTGGAGGGCGGCTCCTTGTCAAAATGTGGCTCTCGCCTTAGCGCCGCGCATAGTTTTAGCAATTTGCAAGTGTCTCACGGATTCCCATGACCAACGTACCAACATTTGTGTGTTTGGAAGGATTCAGGAGCACGCGGGTGCAACAATTATCTTGATTTGCGGTGTTGAAATCAAAAAAATGGCGTTATGGCACGATTCCGGATCGCCAACAAGTAGCAGTCAGGTAGACACGTGGCGTTGAAATCTCGAGAACAACGTTTTGGCATGCTTCAGGATATTCTAACGGTTGTCTTCCAACGAAGCAGCTCCCTCAATGGAAATGAACCGTTGTCGGGGCCTATGAAGGGGGAGCTTGGAGGGAGGGATAATTCCAACATCGTTGATGACGCTTGGGTTTACACTGGTCCTCCTCCTCCTCCTCCTCCTCCTCCTCGATCCGACGATCCTCGGGGCGTCGAGATCCTCGTCGACCCCCGACCCCCCTCTGCACTCTCCCCGGTCCATGAGATCGTCGTCGCTGGTGGTCGATCTCCGACGTCCCCAGGGAAGGAGAGGGGAGGAGGGGGAGGGCAGGGGGAGGAGGGGGGAGGAAGGGAGGAGGGGGGAGGAAGGGAGGAGGCGGGGGGGAGGGGAGGGGGGGGGAGGAAGGGGGAGGAGGGGGAGGGCAGGGGGAGGAGAGGAGGAGGGGGAGGCAAGTGAGAGCAGGAGGAGGAAGGAGGGGGGAGGAGGGGGAGGGCAGAGGAATTCGCTGGAATTCGCTGCTGGCCACAGTGTGGTCACGAGCGGAATTCAGGGGAAGAGGGAGCCGGATGGGTTGCCACGGACGCTAGCGTCCCGCCTGGTGATGACCTCCTCGCGGGCAGCCATGGCCCTCGAGGGGAACTGGCGGCGAGGGAAAAAGCCTTTTCCGAAGGAGGAGGGTGAGGCTGGTAAGGTTGGGCTAACGACCGCAGATGGCATTGCCCAAGAAGAACAGCACCTCGCACAACACCATGAGGAGGAGGAGGCGGAGGAGGAGGGAAAGGAGGAGGAGGAAGAGGAGGAGCAGGAGGAGCAAGAAGAGAAGGAGGCGGAGGAGGCGGAGGGGGAGGATGATGATGAAGAAGAGGAGGGAAGGAGAGAGGATGAATGAGGAGGCGAGAAGGAAGAGGAGGAGGAGGGAGAGGAGGATGAGTAGAGGAGGGCGAGGGGAGGAGCTGATCAGGAGGAAGGATGGGGCGGAGGAAGAGGAGGAGGAACGGATGAAGAGTGAGGAAGGGAAGTGAGGGGAGGAGAATGGTTGAGGGGGAGGGATGAGGCAAAAGGGGATGAGGCAAAAAGGAGGCGGGTGAGGGAAGGGAGGTAGGGAGGGAGGGAGGAGGGAGAGGGAGGGAGGAGGGAGGGGAGGAGGTGAAAGGAGGTAGAAGATGTGGGGAAGGAGGAGGAGTCGTCTGATTGCTGCGGCGTGGTATTCTGTCTCGCGGCTCCGGTGTGGTTGTGTTGTAGGGCGTGTGAGGCGGCTGTCGTCCGTTCTTATCTCCTCTTTTGCATGCACGCGGCCTCGGCCGGCACGGACTACCGCTCATACGATAGTCCTACGCCGGCGGCGACGCTAACTCCCTCCTTCCCCCCCATCCCGAGGGGCCCGGCCACCGCCGCGGTCTGCAGGCAGGCCTCCAGACTGGCGCTGTCGCCCGCGGTGTCGAAGACCAGCGAGCAACCGCGGCCCTCGGTGCACTCCTAGGCGGCGAGGGAGGGGGAAGTGAGAAGGGGAAGGCCTTCTCAGAAGGCGGCGGGACTTCTCAGAAGCCATCACTGTGTCTTTCTGAGGAGGAGGAGGAGGAGGAGGAGGAGGAGGAGAAGGAGAAGGAGGAGGTAGAGGAGGAGGAGGAGGAGGAGAAGGAGGAGGAGGAGGAGGAGGAGGAGGAGGGGCCTTTTCCAAGGCCTTCTCAGGAAGGCTGCGGGACTTCTCAGAAGCCCACGCGCCATCGAGAAGACAGCTGCGTCCTACTTCTCTGGTTTCTTGCGCGCGCCTCCCCATGAGTCCCCCCCGGCCACCTTCGAGGGGGCAGGGCCCCCATCAGATCCCTGGAGGCTGAGAGTGGGAGAGGAGGAGGAGGATGAGAGGGAGTAGGAGGAGGAGCAGGGAGTGAGGAGGGTAGGAGGAGGAGGAGGAAGATGAGAAGGAATTAGGAAGGAAGGAGGATGGGAGGAGGAAGAAGGAGGAGAGGAGGGAGGAGGGGGAGGAGGGGAAGGGGGAAGGGGAGGAGAGAAGGATGGCTTCAGAGGAGAAAGGAGGACGTGCGGCGTAGGCTTCCGCCCCGGCCGCCATTGCAGCGGCGTCGAAGGGGCAGCAACACCGCCGACCGGAAACCATAGGTCCGGAGACCCCGTCACCGCGCCGGCGGCCGCGGCTCTGGGCAGGGAGGATCTTGATAGGTTTGATGGTGTACCATACAATTTCTGGATCAAGTTTATATTTAAGGGACGGGCAAGTCCTCAAAACAGGCGGATTCTGGACGACAAATAAAGAATAGTCAAGCAATAAACCAAAATTATCAAAAATAGTCGAAACATCGTCCCCACATAATTTGTGTTGAACTATTTTTAAAAAAGCCTCCTGTAGAGGGACAGGCCCGACTGACATCGTCTAGCTTGAATCCACGGGCACGGCTTGTTTAGCAAGACTGCCCGGCGGAAGGCGACCCAAAGAGAAACCCTGTACCGGCCTGGCCCAGGCCACCGCGGGAAGGCCGGAGAGGGGAGGAAGAGCACTCGAGAGCCTCCGCAACGGTTGGCCTCGCAGCGACGCCAATTAGATCACCCCAACATTAGGTCGGGCATGTCCCAATACAGGCGGATTTTGAACGAAAAGACAACTATTTTCAAACATATTCAAAAAATGTCAAATAGTCGAAGAATCGTCCTCCGACTATTCTTTGACCATTTTTGAATATTCCTCCTAGGAGGACGTGCCCGACTTGACCCTAACATGGAACCCCGGGACGGCAGCCGAAGATCGTGGACCCAAGCTGGCTCCTGGAGGACGCTTCGAGGATCCCCGACACAACCTTCAGACTTAGATCGGGCATGTCCCCCCACAGGTGGATGCTTGACGACAAGTAGAGAAAAGACCCAAACAACAAACATAGACAAAGATAACATTAACAAACCGATTATATACATACATATATATGTATATATTGATGTTTCGATATAAAAACTAGATTGGGCGTTGGAAGTAGATTGGGCGTCCACCCGCCCCCTGAAGAGGAGGAAAGAAGGAAAACCGCTCGACTCTTGAAGTAGGAAGGCGCTTAAAATGGATTAGGATTTGGGGCATTCAGAAATGCCTACTTTCAACGACCGGCGTGTAATAGAACAATTGCCCCCCGATGGTCTTGTTCAATTGCTATTTTGGGATACTCCTCCTGTAGAGGGGCGAACATCAGGCCTGAAAGACGCCACCGCCGGACTCGCCCACCCAGGCCCGCGCCCAGGCCATTACCACGCCCCGCCCCGCCACGGCAGGCACCCGGAGGACCCCACGAGCAGCCCGTGCCCAGGAAGCCTCCCGAGAGGGGCCAAGGGCGCGCCGAGGGCCTCCCAGGGCAGCATGCTACGGGACGTGAAAACGACCACAGCCGCTGCTTTTCTTTTGTTGCCGCCTTCCAGCCAGCAGAAGCAAAGCAGTGGTTGTGGTCATTTTGCTTAAGCTCGGCACCAAGGAGTTGGCCACAAGCACTGCTTCTTCTTCTTCGGCCGGCCGGAAGGCGGCGCAAAACAAGAAGCAGTGGCTGCGGTCGTTTTTCCGTCCCGCAGCATGCGTAGGCTTGGGTCGGGCATGTTCCCCTACAGGTGGATTTTGGGCGACAGCTGAAACAACAAACGAGTACTCGCAAATGGTCCCAAGTAGTAGAAAAAATTGCCCCCAGACTACTGGTGTGCGTATTTTTGAGCACTCCTCCTGTAGGGGGACAGGCCCCACTGAAGCGCAGGCGACCGCAGCTGGACACAAACGCGGGGGGCGGCATAGCTCCAGCGGGAGCCCGCAGAGCTCGACTCCTGTAATTAGGGGCCCTGCCCGGCCCTGGCCGGCCGCGACGCGAGGCACGGCGCAGGTGCCAGCCTGACTACCTACCAGACCACCCCAACCCAACCCGAAGACCCGATTTTCGGGTTCGGGGGGTAAGGGTTCCACGCGTGTTTTTTTCGAGGTTTCCCGACCTCCCCCCCACTGGAAATGGAGGTCAATTTGAGGCCTTCGGGTTGGGTTGGGGTGGTTTGGTGGGTGGTGACAGCCTGTGCGAGGAACCAGAATCGGGGCCCTCCCGCGAGGGCGACGACGACGATGGCGGCCAGCAGCATATGAGGAAACAAGAAGGCACTGCTGCCGCTCCTCCCCGGACCTCTCCGGAGGCGCGCTCTGGCCAGAATCCCGAGAAGGATCCGGCCGTGGTGGAGAAACCTCCCCAGCACGAGCTGCGGAATCGGTATCCACTGCCTCCCCTGAGGATGAGGCCCCCGAAAGACGCGGCAAGGAAGGGAACGGGAAGGCAGGCGGCAGGCGGGAAGGCAGTTCACGAACCTCTCTGCGTCCAGAACCGGTCCACTTGGCCCTCGACCTCCGCGGCCAGCAGTGAAGGGGCCCACAAACACACAAATAAACATACACAAATAAAACTATCCCCATATTTTCTGGGTTTTTGTCTTCCCCCCACTTCCCATATTTTCGCATATCTTCCTGGGAATCGACGATGAATTGTGTATGTGTGTTTCTTTCCCTCCTGAAGCAGCAGCGCCGCCCGGCAGCCAGCCTGGCCCAGGGCGCACCCCGGCAGGGCCACGGCGCACCCCCGTGCCGAGGCGGCGGGCGGGAAGCCTCGGGCCCGCCAGATCGCTGCCCGCCAAGGGGCCGCGGCCGGGCAGCTCGGGCAGCTCGGCAGGATGTGGGAGGTCAGGCTGCACTGCACTGCGCCGCAAGGGCACGCACGACCGCCTCGGGGCCCCACGATCGACAGCCGCGCACGTGGCCCAGCGGCAGGAGACGGCACGAGGCTGTGCCGGGAAACGCTGCGTCGCCAGCATGTCCCACCCGAGGCTGCTGCAACGGGTACCGCGGCACTCCTGGGACGTCGCCGGCCGCAGCTCATGGCACGACAGCGAGAGACCGTGCCGAGCGGCAGCGGCCGCCCATCCAGCAAGGCACCCGGCGTCGGCCCGGCCACGAACATCTTCCTTGTATGCTTCCAGCGCGCCTCCCACGTGGGATAGCAGCCACACGGGCCAGTCTGGCATGTCTCACCTGGTGAGGAGCTCCCAGGAAGCCTTGGCCCATGTCAAGCCGGCGCCCCCATGCGCTGGGAGGAAGACGTCCCTGTAGAGTTATGTTGTTCCAATCCTACACAAGGACCACATCCAGAAATCATTTCGAGCACCCCGAAAAATGTCAAAAGAGTGTCGAAACAGTGTCGAAACAGTGTCGGGCGAGTGTCTCCCAGGGCCCGACACGTGAAAACCATTGAATTTCGGTGCTTTCTTGGGCGCTCGAAATTATTCCTGGTGATCGAAGCTAAATAAGGTTCGAGCATCCTAACTGTAGAGGTCCATGCCCGGGAGGGCCCACAGGGATGCACGCCGGGGTAATCAGCCGCTCCGGCTGCAGCAGCGCCCGATCCAGACCGGTACCCAGCCCAGCTGGCCCGCGGCCACGCGGTGCCCGCGCCGGGGCGGGAGGCCCCGGAAGAGCTGCGCCCATGGCTCGCGGGACGACTTGTGCGCAGCGCCGCTGGTCTCGCGCACCGCCCAGAGCCACCACCCAGACCGGAGGCCCCCGTCTGGAGGTCGAAGAGGGCCGCCGCGGCGACCAACGGAAGGTCGCACCTGGTGACTATAGGCCTGCAAGGGACGCAGCCTGCGAGGACGCAGCCCCGAGGGGGAGGAGGAGGGAGTAGGGCGGAGGAGGAGGAGGAGGAGGATGAGGAGGAGAAGGAGGAGGTAGACGGAGGAGTGGGGAGGGGGAGTTGAGTAGGAGGAGGAGGATGAGGATGGAGGGGGAGGAGGAGGAGGAGGAGGAGGAGGACGAGGAGGAAGAGGAGGAGGAGAAGGAGGAGGAGGAGGAGGGAGGGGGGGAGGAAGGATGGGCGAGGCAGATCTATCCGTGGCGGCGACGGCCCCACGGAAGGCAGAACACATCAACATCCTCCTCCCCCTCCTCCTCCATCTCCCCTTTCTTTCGAAGAACTGGCGAAATGCATAAACATAAACTTTTGACAGTCCGCGCGGATTTCTTGGATATGCGATGCCCCCTCCCTCGGCGGCGCCTCCGACGCCGGCCCTGGCGCGCTCCGCGCGCCAAGGAGAAGGGGCCCAACTCAGATCCAAGAAATCCGCGCGGACCGTCAAAAGTCCATGGTTATGCGGTTTTCTGTTCCACGGTTCTTGGCATGATGGATGGGTCCTGATTTCAGAGGGTCCTGGACCCCAAGGCTTCCCCCAGGACCCCTTTACTATCCCTAGATACGTTGGCTCGACGACCCAAAGCCCAGAGGAAGCCTCAGGAGAGTCCGAGAGCGGCGAAAGCCTCGAGGGCATTCTTTCAGGACCCCGTCGTCTTCACGGCGATCCACCCAGCCCGCCTCCTTCTGACAAACTGCGAGGTGTCCTTGACCCCCGCGACCGCGTCTTCAAAGGAGAACGTTGCCGTGGCGCCAAAGCGCAAGGCGAAATCGCGCCGGAAGGGCACCCGGTCCACCATGTAGATCTGGAGAGGCAGAACGCCGTCCCTTCAACCCCCCCCTTCCCTCCTCAGGTCATCTCCCCTCCCTCCCATCCTCATCCTCCCCCTCCTCCTCCTCCTCCTCCTCCTCCTCCTCCTCCACCTCCACCCGCCTCCTCCCTCCTCCTACCCTCTCCCATCCTCCTCCTCCTCCTCCTCCCTCCTCCTCCTCCTCCCTCCCCTCCCTCCCTCCCCTCGATCCCTCCCTCCCCCCTCACTCCAGCCCCGCTGCGTAGACGTAGCCCTCCCGTCCTCCTTTCCTCCCTTTCGCCATCCTCCTCTTCCACCACCTTACCTCCTCCTCCTCCTCCTCCTCCTCCTCCTCCCCTCCTCCACCCTGTGCGTAGACCGTTAGCCCTCCCGTCCTCCCCTTTCTCCTCTCGCCCACCGTCCCTACTCCTCGTCCTCCTCCTCCTCCTCCTCTCCTCCTCCAAGAAAGAGAAGAGACAGGGAGAGGAGAGAGAGAGAGAGAGAGAGAGAGACAGAGAAACAAAACAAAAGAGAGAAGCACAAAGAGAGAACGTGTGTTTGGCATGACGGCGAGCAAGCCAGCGCCTGCCGCGCTCGCGCGTCCCCTCCCACGGGCGGCGCGGGAGGCCCCGTGGTCGGCCTCGACCTCGCCGCGGGCGGCCGCCCGTGGCCCCCGCGACCGTCGGAAGGGGCCCCGAGACACACAGATCCGCGAAGCGAAAACATAAACACACACACACACAAATAGCAGTATTCCCCATATTTTCCAATGTTTTTGCCCTAGGTTTTTGTCTCCCCCCCACTTCCCATCTTTTCCCATCTATCCTGGAGGTCGACGATTACTTGTGTCTCTGCGTGTGTGAGATCGACCTCGCCGCGGACGGCCGCTCGTGGCCCCCGCGACTGTCTGAAGGGGCCCCGGGACACACAGATTCGCCGGCCCAACGGGCTGTCTCAGGGATGTCTCGGGCGAGACCGACAGGACCGCCTCACAGGCGGCATCTCAAGGCCCGAAACAACCGTGACGGCTCCGCCGAAACCGACCTGGACAACTTCTCGCATGCGGTCTCCTAGCTCAAAACCCCTCCCCTGCCTCCTGGGCAGGAGATGGTCAATCGCGATTCCTTGCCCAACCTCATATTTCCCCTTCGGGGATGGGGTCATCGCTGCTCCTGAATTCGCCGGCCCAACGGGCCAGAGGCGTGCTAAGATCTCCGGCAACTGGTTAGCAATATTTCTAGTTCGCGCGCGCGGAACGGCCCCTGGGGGCCCCGGACGACAAGTACCCCGGCAAGGTCCCGGGAGAAGCCACCAGAGCACTCCAGGGGAGGGCCATTTTTCGACATCCCCCACGAGGATCGTGGCCTCCGAGGGGGGAGCCGCAATCGACTACCCCCCCTTCCGCCCCAAGAGGCCCCCAAAAGCCCCCCAAGAGGCCCTGGGGGCCCCCAAGACGCCGCCAAGGAGCCCCAAGAGACTCCCAAGAGGTCCCCAAGAGACCCCCAAGAGGCCCTAAAGAGGGCTCCAGGGCCGGCGGAATGAGCGAAGCGAATACAGAAATACACACAAATAACAGTATTGTCAATATTTTCCCATATGTCCTGGGTTTTTGTCTTCCCCCCCACTTCCCAGATTTTCCCATCTATCCTGGAGATCAACGATCAATTGTGTCCGTGTGTTTTTCCCTCTCCTGGCCGTCGAGGGGGGCGCGCCGTGACCAGGAGCACACACCCCGAGGCGGGCCCCGCCGTGGCGCCGAGGCGTCCCCTCGACACCCTCCACGGAGCTCCGTGCCAGTTGGCGTGAAGTCGGGCGTGTCCCCCTACAGGGGGATATTTTCGAGGAAAACTAAAACATAGTCCAAAAATGCTCCAGAAGGGTATGGTTAAGAAAATTGTCAAAAAATAGTCCCCAGGCTATTGTTTGACTATTTTTTACATTTCCCCCCTGTAGAGGGACAGGCCCGACTTAACGTTAGCGCCTCTCGACACCTTCCACGGAGTTCCACGGCCACTCTCGACACCGTGCACGGGGCAGCGCGCCTGCTGCCGCGGGCCCCTCGCGGGGAGGGGGGGGCGGGGGAGGCAAGCCGGCGAAGCACTCGACCGCAGCACCGCAGGACCGCCCATCTGGCCCAGGGCGGCGCCACGAGAATCGCGACGGCCCACCTTTCCACTGGTGAGCGTTTTTTGGTCGGCGCTTCGACACTGGGCGGAAGGGGGGGGGAGGGGGGGGGTCTGGCTCCGGACCTCTGCTTCATGCGCCTGTTTGCCACAGCGCGCGCCCCATGGGGGAGACTCCACCTGCCCGAAACAGGCGCCAAACAACAGCCAAGAGCTACTCTGTGGGGAGGGGGAGGGGGGGGAAGGGGCCCGCGCCGATTGGCAAAACTGAAGGGGCCCATGGGACACACAAATACATACACTGAAACCCCAGGATTCCCCGTTTTTTTTTCACATTTGTTTGGTTTTCTCTTCCCCTCCACTTCCCACACTTTCCCACATTTTCCAGGGAATCGACGATTGATTGATTAACTGTGTCTGTGTGTTCTTGTCCCCTCCTGAAAAGCAATGAATAAGGCAACGATCACTCTTACGGTTAGGTCGGGCGTGTCCCCCTACAGGGGGATTTTGGACGAAAAATGAAAATACTCTAAAAATGCACAAAAGATGCCCAAAATAATACTCCAAAAACAGTCCCCAGACTATTCTTTGACGATTTTTAATTGGTCCTCCTGCAGAGGGACCAGGCCCGACTTCATCTTAGGGCTCCCCCGTGGCTGGCCGGCCCTGCCCTCCGTGCCGCCATGGCAGGCTCCTGCTGCCTGCCTCGCCCCGCTGGCCTCGCCTCGCGGGCAACCCGGGAGGCCCCCGCGGAGGGCGAGGCACGCCCCCCCCCCCAGACAACGGGGGCCCCTCCAGACGAAGCCGGGACGAGGACTGCATCGGGCAACGGACTCATCGGAAGGGGCCCAGGAGCACACACACACACACACACGCACACACACACACACGCACACACACACACACACGCACGCACGCACACACACACACACACACCCGCACACACACACACACACACACACACACACACACACACACACACACACACACACACACACACACACACACACACACACACACACACACACGCACACACACACACACATTCGGGGATGGACAGACATTCGGGGATGGCCAGACCCCCCTTTAGTAAAACGTGGTTTAGTGAAAACGACCTGAGGCCCAAACCTGGCGGGCGCAAGCCTGGAAGATAACGGCCACGGCGCCCTCTCGAGAACCGAAAACGGACAATTCACTAATCGACGTGTCACTGTTGGGGGTTCTGTCCACCCCCGATACATCGGGCAACGGACTCATCGGAAGGGGCCCAGAAACACACACACACACACACACACACGTACACACACACACACACACACACACACACACACACACACACACACACACGCACACACGCACACACAACTACGCAAAGATCCCAGGATTCCCCGTCTCTTCCGGTATCTTCTGGGTGTTCGGCTTCCCTCGCACTTCCCGAATTTTCCCATCTGTTCTAGGGAATCGATGATCACTTGTGCCTATGTGTGTTTTTGCCCTCCTGATCATCCTCGCCCCGGCCCCGTCCGGTCCTGGACCCTCGCGCCTCGAGCCTCGATCGTCGTCGCCGTGATCGTGGCCGTCGCCGTCGTCGACCGTTGTTCGTCGATTGTCCGTCGTCGTGTCCGTCGTCGTCGTCGTCGTCGTCGTCGTCGTCGTCGGAGGGTCCCGCCGCGCCGGCGGCTCCTGCTGAACTCGGAGCCGGGACACCGAGTCGGGAGAGGCTCGGATGCAAGGCCCTTGGACGCCCGAGTGGAAGCGCGTTGATGAAGGGGAACTGGAACACACAAATAAATACACACAAATAAAAATATCCCCCATATTTTCGCATATTTTCTGG